CAATCATTGCTTCTGTTCTTCACTGTGTTTTATCAGTGCCTTTAGGAGCTAGGAAGGATTGCACTGCAGCTATTTGCTTCAAACAATACACTTGCAGTTAATGTGTGCATGTGAAGTAGTCATTTTTCAAGAGAAAGATAAAAGAGATCAGTTCTAATTGCAGGTCCATCTGTATGAAGTGACCCTCTCCATGGATGTCAGAGTGCACAACGGAGAGGTATGCAAGAGCAGGTGCTCTGCTTCACCTGCATCCAGGGTTTCTGAACACATTATTCTACAGTCAGTATTCACCCCTCAGATTATGACAAGTGTACTAGCATTGAAAATGCTCCTCTGAGATATTCTGTTGCATTCATCAACAATTTTCTTTCCATTACGTCAGACAGTGTCATCATCATCATCAAAATCTACTATGCAGATAAGAGAACAGATTTACACCTGTATCTCTTTATGTCGCTATTCTACTATTGTCTCTAAGCCATTTATTCATTACTCAGGAAAAAAAATGGGTAACAACTAGTGGAAAGCAGCATGTACATAGAAGCACTATATAGAAAACGAGCTTAGTAAGTCAATTTTCCATTCAACATACATTAAAATAATAACAGTAATAAAATAAAAAAGTTCCTGAAAAGTCCCTGGAAAACCAGAACTAGTGATAAGCCTTGATTCATTAATGTCAGGCAGAGCTTAGTATCAGTTTTAGGAGGAGAGAAATCGTGGTAGAAGGGGTTCCTTCTTATTGCATGCATATAACTGTCGCATGTTAGAGGAAGTCAGGGTTCTAGTCAACAGACAGGCAGCAAAGTGAAATTAAGATATATATTCAATGGATGCATTAAGCAAATTTTAAACATTGACACACACTTTACTGACTCATGATTCCTGCTTAAGTCATTACATTTGTATGGTTTCAAGATTTCAGACTGGTACTTACATTCTCTGTAGTAGTGCCACAAGATGAAGACTGCCTTCGGAGACTCTTTCTGAAAGAAAAGTTTTTGTGGCAGTTCAGACTGCAGCATTTATAACAAATTACGTCTGTAGTGAAAAGAACAGCTGTATCTGACCCATATAATAATCATTGCATATGTTTTCCTCTCTGGAATGTCTCTCACAAATGGATACTTATTAATCTTTCACCCCCCTATTTACGTCAAACTGTTGAGTAATTAAAAACATTTTAGAATATGTATGCATGTCAAAAAGACACTGACAAAATTAATGTAGGTATGATGATTTATTGCGAATTAATTTTAGCTTAATGAAACACATGCTGTCTGATACTTCAATTAACCCAGGCTTGTTTTCCTCTTACTGTACATTGCTTTAATTGCATGTAGAAAAAAAAAAGTATTTTAGAGAAAGAAAACTATAAAATATGTAAATATAAAATACAAAAAAATATTTTAAAAATCTCCTTAGAAAGTGGCTATGGACAGAACTGGGAATACACCCCTAACAACATAATCTAAAATAGAATTTGTTTGAGTTTTAGCAGCTTATGGGCCTAATTTGAGAAATCTTTCTGAAAGTAGGGCACACATAAAACACCTAGATGACACAATTCTTTCTATCCTAGCTGAAGGATAAATATCAGGTGGCTGGATGTCAAAATCTTTACAGCTCACTATTTCCAGAGGATTTTCATCCAACCTCAGTTGAGTTATTACAAGAACTTTTCGCTTAGATATGTCTGTGTCAGTTTCTTAAAAAAATGATTATTGCTCTTTATTTAGTTTGGGAAGCAGTGGATGCATCAGCATCTTACAGTCCCCCAAGCTCTCGTGTACCAAATACTTTTAAACTTCTGATATGACACTTCCAACCTGATGATATCTAAACATCCTACTCAAAGCTGATTAGAACAGCATGTGTCAGGACAACAGGATGTAATGACACACTCAGGTGTTAGCTCTGGCAAGATGCAACAAAAACGTTCCCACAGTCACTGCTCTGACTCCTTTGCTGTAAATAGGAAAAAACTCTTTCCTTTTAGTGTAAGTCAGTAAACCCAAGATGAGATCATATCTTCTAATGCTACACCTACTCCAGTAATGGTAGCAGCTGTTTTGCCACATGAGTATATCCACTAGAAATAAATTATCTACAGCACCTCTGACATCAATCATAGCATCAGCCTTCATAGAGGAAATTGCTTACAGCAAAGAATCAGTTGAGTCAGAAAAATTCACTACTAGGAATGTGATATTATAAATACTACAGAACAACATGGAGGGTCTAACATGCAAATAACCTAATAGAAAAGAAATGTCTTGAGAATAATACAAAAATAAGGGTACACTGCTAACAGAAGCAGATTATCAGGATGCATAACTTTGACATTAAAAAATAAGAATTAAAAATAAAAAAACGTAATCTGAAGAAACATCTCTGAGTGTTTCTGAAAGATCTGTACAAATTTGTGAGTAAAATCAAATACAGTAGAAAGAAAAAATGTAATGAGAAGCTCTTTGATCTTGATATAGGCATACTCAAGGGGGAAAAAAATAAATAAATAAACGAGTAGCATGTGGATAGCAAGGAGGTAAGCATTCTTTTTCAAAGCATGCTTCATTTAATCACAATCAGTGTATTTGTGCTAAGTAGGTGAGTGACTAATGGCTGTAAGACCTTACCAGCATTGCTGGAAACCACTAATTGCTAGTTGGGCAAATGCAAAATGTTCTAGCTTTAAGTGAAATAAAGTTTGCAGCGAAACATATTACTTTTGGTTAGAGTAGTTGGTGCTTAGCTGAAAAACAAACAAAAAAACCAATAACAAAACAGAAGCTTAATTCTATTAGATAATTTAGTCTAATGTTTAAAGAGACTTGCTTGCGAGAGTCCAGATAAGGTTGTGAGCCACTGTTGAGCAGACATGCCTAATAATTACCTGAACTGAAAGGCCTGTTGAAAGTAGATGAGAGGTTAATTGTACATTATCAGGAAACCAGTATTTCTACTGACAATGTGATTTATAATATCTGATATATTTTTTTTCAATGAGCCTATGAGAGTTTTTGTTGGGTAATGGCATGTTTACCTGGGGGTGGAAAGGGTTGGTGTTTGGTAGACTAGGCAAGCAGACAGAAAGGAGAAAAAAGATGTAAAGAGCAGCAATAATTGCTGTTCTACCCTTGTGTGAACCTGTAAACTCAAAAAGAGGGTCTAATGTGGTTAATCTGCCCATACTTTCTCATGCTAACTCCTAAAGAAAGTATGATTCTTTCTGATATTATCTCATATCTCAAAAAGGGATCTTTACATAGCATAATGAGGACTATTTGCAGAGCAACTCCTTCCTTGAGAGGAAATGCAAACTCATTAGCTAGTGATGAACTTAAGAGACTAACGTGAGTGAGGCTAGTTATTATGAGCTGGAGGAAAAACAAACAAACAAAAAAACCAAACAGATTTTGCAAGAAGAAGGAAAGTATATGAATGGACTATCATAAGTATATATCATAGAAAGTATATATCATGGACTATGGCAGAGGTTTCGAACCTTTTAGTTTGTCTGAGTTGCAGTGAATGAGGAGGAACTGTTTTGGCCTACATATAAAATACATAATATAGTTCAATATGTATAACAAACAAAACTTCTTATTTAATGCATATCTAATATTAATACATGAAAAGAGAGAGCGCATGCAACAAAAACTTAAGACTAGAGGGATATTTTACCTTGTTGTGAAACTGATGCACCAGTCTGGTTCGATGGCAGTGGTTGCAATTCTTAGGGAGTTCTCACAGAATTCATAAGAGATTTCTGATGAAATTTTACTCTTCCTGTACTTTGTCTCTGACGTAATTGTTCACGCTGCCAAAAAGCAGTGACATAAATAAGGCGTGATTGTGAAGTGGGGGATATTCCTTTCTGGTAAGAAAGGGCTTATGAAAGTCTGGTAAAGAGACGTCGCAGGCAGTACTGATTGCACAGTGACATTTTGTTGCTGCGAGCGATGGGAGCACACCCAGAGCCAGGCTGGATCCCTCCATAGGGCAGAGCTTCAGCCATGATGCTGCGGGCAGCCGCAAGGCAGGCTGGGCTGGGCTACATGCAGCCCACATAGACGTGGCTGGACTACAGTTTCAGTCACAATCGTGAGAGCTTTTCCACTTTAAAATCAGCTTGCCGTGCTGCATCCCAGCTGTCAAGCAGGCAATAATAACTGCTAATAACAACACAGCAGCAATGAAATGCTCATTTCTCAGATACAAGAATACCAGTGATCACAATTAGTAAGCGTCGGCTTCGCTGTTGTTTTGTTTTCTGCTGTTATAAAGTTAGCTTCATCAAAGTCCGTGGTCAGTGAGCTGCAGCATGCACTGGTCAGTCAGTGCCATCATTTCCAGGTGACGTAACTGAGGCAAACACTCCTCTGACTGCAAGGAGCTGCAGCACCACATCCTGTACCTGCATTCTCATCTAGCATTGACTTCACCCTGCACTTCATGGCCTTTCTCCACACAAATCTCACGTTATTTGCGGCTCTTTGAAGGAATATCGGAGCAGTTTCTTTTATTTAAAATAAGTGTGTGAGAATAGGCTTTCCTTGGGCATCTTTTGGGGTATTTTCTTCTAAACTATGCCATCAGCGATTAGGAGTTGCCCTAAGCGCGATTAGGAAGCCTAGGAAGGGCTCACCTTGTTACACGCTACAACAGCAACCGAAGTTAAAAATCTAAAGATTCTTTTTTTCTTTTCTTCCCGTTTTTGCTACTGAATAAACATCTCGCACTCTGCCTCCCCTTCCTCTCAACAGGAGCGCAGAGCCGGGTGCAGCCCAACCCTCGCCGCAACCCGCCAGCCCCAACCACCGCCCCGCGCGAGCCACCCTCAGCACCGCCCTGCAAGGGGCGGAACCCCGGCACGGCCCGGATGCGAGCGGCGGCCGCGCGTGACGCCAGGCACCGCTCCCACCAATGCGCGGCCGAGGCGCTGCGTTTTGAACGTCGGGGATCGGCGCCAACCGCTCGGCTGCGCGCGGGGACTCCCTGCTGCTCGTGGCATCTCTGTGCGGGCGGCGGCCGGCGCCGCTCTCGGGTAAGCGGGCGCTGCGGCTGGGCGTGTTGCGCGGGCCGGGCCGCTACGAGCCGCACGAGGAATGGGGAGGAAGCGCTCCGACCGCGGCCTGCAGCCGGGGCTGCCATCTGCTCAGGGGTCTGCTGCCACCCGCCGTGGCGTGGCGTTGTGGATCAGCAGCTGAATGAGCCCGTTGCCGTTTCTGTTTGTAAAGGTCGAAGATGGCCGAGCATCTGAAAAAACCCTTCAAAGACAGTCTGAGCGACATAAAGGAACGGATGAAAGAGAAGAGAAATCAGAAATGGGCGACGTTGAGCAAAATCAGCCAGATCTCAACTGTGAAATGCAAGAGAGCAAGTAAGATACTTGAATATCTTAATGTATAGGTGTTCTAAGTTGGTTTTTTTTTGTTTGTTTGTTTGTTTGTTTTTTTTAACCGAGTTGAAATGCGTGCTGTTTTGTTGCAGCCACCACCTCTGTGAAAATGAAAAGCCTCCAGGCCAACAACAAAGCTCTGGCTCAGGCTTTGCAGGAAGAAAAGCTCAAACTGAGGGATGCTCAAGCTCTTATCCTACAGCTAAGGAAAGAGTATCAAGATCTGAAGTTTCAAATGTTTGACTTGCGAAGAAATCTTGCATTCAGGCAAGCACAAGGACTGGTTGAGGTACTTTAATCACATCTTTATAATTTGGCGAAGCTAGCTGTGAGAATCAGTGCAAATGATCCAGTAATAGCTTTGTGAATTTAAACGTTTCACAAAAATGAACTTAATGCGTAGAATATTCTTTGTAATCACAGTTAAAACACCTAATTACAGGTATTTTATACAGTATGTCCAGAATTTAGTTATCTTGTAATATTGGTGAAAGGATAATTATACTATTAGCTGATACCTGAATATAACAGCAACAACGTTGTTTTCCTTCTCTCGTCCATTAGACTAGACTGTCAGCTTTGAGTGAGATAATTTCAAAAGTTTCTCAGAACTTACTGGAGTCAGTTGATCTCCTTGGCCCAGCGAAGGATTTGTGTTCCAGAAGTGTAGTAAGTACCTTTTCCTCTCTGGAGAGGGGGGTTTTCTGTGAGTTCTTTCCCTTACTCCTTTGTGTGCCTCTATGTTGCTTCATTTTTTGCGATTGGAGGCTCAGTTTGGAGGTCAGAGTAGTACCTCTGTGTGGGTGTGTAGCAGGACTCAGGCTCTGCTGTAGGGTGAGAGGTGCACCCTGATTCTCTATGGCTTTGTGTCTTCCTCCCTGTATCATCCTCACAGTTCCCTCCCCTGTCAACTATGTATTTTTGGGTTAAGGGTTGCTGTTGACATGACGGAACTGAGTGAGTTCCTACAGTATTTTATGTCGGCCAGTCAGGAAGCAAATGAAAGCAACCAGGAGTCCTTTCAGCTCTTCTTTGTGCAATTGGGCTACTTTCTAAAATCTTTATATGGCCTGAGCTTATTTCAGCTGTTGAGTCAAAGTAAGATTTATTTTCTCCACAGAATCAGAGGGTGTGTACTTCAGTGCTTGAAAATAATTCCAGTGACATAGGAGGGAGAAGTTCTGTGTAAGTATGTTTTGTCAATACATATTTGAAAATGCCATTAGAGTAAGTTTAATTTTGTGAGAAAGGGGAAGAAATTCTATGTAGTAGATGCAGTTGTTACAAAGTAGCAGTTTGTTGTTACAAAATATATTGTTATTCAGTAAGTGTTACCTTTGGTATTTTTTCCAGAGAGCTTCTACAGCCTGCTGATGGAGATGATCAAGTACTTCAATGTAGGTTGGAAGCTGATTGTGAGAAAAGTGAGCCAGGTCATTCTGTGTTCAAGATCTGTCAGGAACTTGACAATGACACTTCCTTAGCCAAAATAATTCCAGACAAAGGTAAACAAATTGAAGTATTTGGCATTGCTCTATTGAGAAGCAGGGAAAGCGTGTGAGATTACAAGGTTAAAACTGAATTACTGCTTTTGATGTAATTGGCAAATAGTTTTCATTTATTACTCTCTGAGCTTTACAGTACTGGCTAGCTGGTAAGCTTTTTGAATGAAGGTGCATAACAAAATAGGGTATCAGCTTGAAAATGCTTTTTCTTCCATATATCTGCAACCTAGTTTCATTTATCTACCAAAGAGTTGATCAGAGTAAATTAATCTTCAGTCATGCAATTTAAGAAGTCAACAACTATAAAAGTACAAAATAACTGGAGAAACAAAAGACCTGTGAGTAACCTCTCCAAATAAAACACTTCAGGAAAATCCTGGTTGTAGTATTCTTAACTGCTTTTTGTCTGGAGGTTGTATTAAATATAACTTATCCTAACACATAGCAATCAAGATATACAAATCTCTTGAGAAAATTCTAAGATAGTCATAAGTTTTGACAAATTAAGAACTTGAATAAAACCTCTTTGTATTGTTACTATTTAGCTTTAATGTGATTCTTTTCAATTTTGAGGGCAAACATCTGATTTTCATGTGTACAACATTGCATCAGTGCTGGGAGATGTTTCTTCAAGTGGCGAAGATGGATTTGGTAATATGTTAACAAAGAATGTGTCTACCAGGCGCCGCTGTTTGAAGATGACAAGTAGAGATGAACTTTGCACTGGCATTTTGGACAATTTGGAAGCATCTGATTCAGCTGAAGAGCCTTTTAAACAGGATGAAATGAGGCTTCAGAAAAGTCTAGATGTGTGTACTGTGGAAAACATACATTCGGGTATTTCTCAGGTGGACAAAGTAGGTTCAGACCTGGTATTAAGGCAGATGGATTCTGAAACTGCGAAGGTCAGTTCACGCAACAGTTCAGATCTTAAACAGCGTGCATGTAAAAACACAGAAGACTCTCAAGTAAGGAGAGAGAAGGATCAGAAGGTGAAAATGGGAGGGACTAAAGATACTTCCAGACCAAGGTCAAAGAAAAGACAAGGTAAAGAGACTTGCAAAGAAAAGTTGGACAACTTGAGTGGTTCCAGTGATGCTTATGATTTTAATTTTGAAGAGAGCATCCATGTTACACCTTTTCGACAAAATAAGGTGAATGACAGAGATACTGATGTGGGTGACAAAGAAGAGTCATCTGAATCTAATAGCATCGAGTTGAGTGATACTGAAGGAGATTCAGATGATAGCCTTTACGTACCTTATAAGAATAAACCAAAAAAAAGGAAAAGTTCAGTGGATGAGACTGGTACATCACCAATCCATGTGAGGCCAAGGTCTAAAAGATGTCTGGCACAGCGTGAGCAGAAACTCCATAAAGAAGAGACTGAAAAAAAGACTGAAATCAATAAATCAAGTGAAAAGTCTACTAGTAAGTTTGTAAAGTGCTCTGTAACTGTTTGATTGAGCTTTATCACTGTTCCAGAGGTTTAGGCTTTTTATGTTTTTAATGGAAACAGAATAATGTTGCTGAAAATAATTAGATTCATTTTTTGTCCACCTTTTTCCTCGCAGCAGAAATTGAACTTAAAGATAGTTTTGTTTAAGAAATTGCTCAACAATGAATTAACGTTGTATTTTAGTTGTAGTTCAAAGTGTACTAAAGCTGAGTTTGAAAAAGGGAGAACAAAAGCATAATCTGGGAGACACTGAAAGATAGAGATGATAGTTATAGCTGACTTCCTTCGTGTCTATTCTATTCACTGACATTGTCTGTTAAGGTTTGACATTGCCTGAGTTGTCTTAAACAACCTTTCGTGAAGCACAACTAATTTTCTTAATTTTTTTTTTCTTTTTTTGCAGGTCAACCTTCTAAATCATTTCATGGTCATCTCTGTGATGTTACTAACATTGCTTCATCACTCCTAAGCAAAGGGAATGCACCTGTTGGCCCTGCAGGTGAAAGATCACCATCTCCAAAACGCAAACGAAGAAGCTGTACACTTACTGTGAACTATAAGGAACCAAGTATTACAGCGTGGGTGTTTTTTCAGTTTGATGTAAAGTCAATCATAATCCATTAAATAAATTATTTGAGAGGGGTACTTAAATACTGTTAATAAGTTCTTAGCAAAATATTCAAAGGAATCTGTTGGCAGTAGTATGAAATAGTTGATGTGAAATTGAACTTGCTAATGGGAAGATAATGTTTTCAACAAGGAAGAAAAGAGAACTCAAGCTGCTTTTTTTTTTTTTTTTTTTTTAACAGGAAACTTAGAAGAGGAGATCCATTTACAGATATATGCTTTCTGAATTCTCCAATTTTCAAGCAGAGGAAAGATGCTAAACGCAATTCCACTAAGAAGAAATCTCTTTCAAAATATAACGAGAAATTTGTTGGTGGTTGTTGAGATTTTCTGTGATGCTAACAGGACTATGAAGAGAGGAAATCCATCAATCCTTCAGCCAGCAAACTTACACTATACAACTATCTCTAGGCGTTTAACTGGATATAAAACAAAGTGGGTTTTGGTTTTAATCAAATGACTTATTCTTAAGGATGTAGAAGACATGAGATTACTTTTATAACTAGGGTGATTCCACTTAAGCTCTTTTGGGAGACATGCTACTTTGTGAATTTGTAAATACATCTGAAATATCTGAAAAAGATGAAGAGCAAAATTTTCTGACTTAAATCCTGCTTCATCTGACTGTGGTTGGCGCAAGCAAACTTCAGGTACTGAAGTTCAAATGTTATCCAGATCTTATTTATGTAACAGTTTCATATTGAAGCCTATAATAAAAGTGTTAGTGTTGGAAAGAACTCAGAGTTGATTGGAGTCCTTTTTACAGGGTTTCCATAGTTGCTTGAAGGGTAGCAGTGTCAGCTATAGACAGAGTGAAAGCCAGTGCATTCCTTTCCTTCTCATATTGAGTATGGTTGGAAGTAACACCAATTGTAATTCAGTTAGTTGTGTGAGCTCTCAAAAGTTTCAATTCTAGTTGTTACTTCTATAAACATAAGTTAAACTTAATTTACTTTGTTCCTAATCTTATTTGGTTATCTGCAAATGTTGTGGAAAGCTTTCTGTTTCGGGAACTGGAAGTAAACTGTAAGCCAGAGTACTGAGCTTTACTGTTATGTACCTCATAATTCTTGTCTTACTGTATAAGAACCAGAGGAAAACTTAGTATTTGATACAACAATTGGCAGAAAGCTAGAAAAACTTAGCTGGAAGGAAGCTATCCAGCAAGATTTCAAGGTTCGATAGCACTTAAAATATAGTGCATTTCTTCACTTCAGGAACATTTAAAAGTGTTAATGGATACATTAATGAAAAGAGGAAAGCTGCATTCAACATAAGTAACCTCTCTACAAGGTTGCTCCTTGCTCTACAAGGTTGCCTATCTTGCCTGTCCTGCTTCAAAAGTTATTAGTGCTCTCCTGTGATAAATGTTTTGATTTACTGGCAACATTTTTACATAATCAAAACACTAAACATGATGAAAACACTAAATCTCTTCTGAATGCTACTTACTGCCTTATGGACCATATGCCTTTATGTGACTGTTTACTTCCCAGTGCCTTGCATTGTGATACTAAAGGGCTAGTGGACAAAAAAAAAAGAAAGAAAAAGAAAAAAGCGAATGACATGCTTTGAGACTCACTTGGTTTTTCAAAGAATTGTTTGAGTCCTTAAAGAGACTGGGATAACAGCACTATATCTCAGCTAACGGAAAGCTGGGAATAGGTGGAACACTTGGAACCTTCATCTCTCTCCTTACTTTCTCATCTCAGCTTTGTATATTGTAGTCAACTAAATGCTCCCGATGAACTTTTGAATAGATTCTCTCAAGTGCACGTAAAAAAATGCACTGACTGCATTCTTATGGGTTCATGGTACTCAGTTGTGAAATTGCTTCAGTGTGTATATTTGCAATGCAGGAACTAATCAAAAAGAAGAAGAGACCAAGTAAGGTTTTGTACATATATAATTTAAAACTATTCTGTACCAATACAATATATTAATTTTACAAATGTAAAATTCATCAGCTGTTAAAGCATTTGCAAAACCACATTCTACTGTAACTTTATTGCACAGTATCTATGAAAATATTAATTCTTAAATTAGAAAACAAATGTTTCAATATAGAAGAGACAATCTGATTGAAATACAATAAGAAAATCTACTCTGAAAATAACAAAATTTCACAGGATACTAAGCTTACAGGTGCACCTGTAGGCCCAATCTACAAAACCGGATCATAGCATCTGGTACTGGCTAATTAAAAAAAGAAAAATTCTTTGTACCTTAGTTATAGATCCAAATGTAGGTCAGACTAATCTCATGTGAAACACTGTGGCAATTCTAGTGTTAACATTTTGAGTATTTTGCATATACCACGTTTACTACCAGATAGTTCCTGACTCTACTTAACTGCTTCAACATTGCACAGGTATTTTGCAGGAATATATTCCTTGATGCAGCATAGGGTGGGGGTTTTTCAGCCTTATAACTACTGAATGTTACCAGTGTATCATCTGTAAATATAAAACACTAAGATTGAGAGTTAAATTTGTTTGTCACAAAAGCATTATAGTTACAAACTGATTAGAAAATGTCAAGTGATGACTTTTTGGCCTGTCCTATCTCAATTAGGAAGTTAGAAGTACCTCTTAAATGTAGTGTAGGCAGCAAAATATATATTACATATGTGCTTAATTTGAAGATATGCTAACATGAGTTGTAAAATGTTAATATGCTCCTGGGTCTAAATAATCACAGTTAATAAGTATTTACAATAAAGCTTGGTAGAAAATCCAGTTTACCACAGAAGCAAGTATATAAGATTGAAGCTGAAAGACACTGACAGTTGTGTACTTTTGTCTCTGCTGAATAACCTGAAGAATTTATGAGTGAAGAGTATTATATGGGGTGGGTCGTGAAGTGCATCAAAACCTTAATGTCATTAAGCCAATTAAAATTAAATATAGTATAATTAAATTGGAGCCTTTAAAGATATTTTGAGTACTTATGTCCTGCATAAGTTATTATGACATTACGTATCTAGTCTGATTTTTTTTTTTAATTATCTCTTTTAATAGTGGTTATGATATTACAATTTGAAAGTTAATATCTATTAAAAAAAAAAAAAAAAGGAATAGAAAAACTTGCATCTATCAAATGTTGTAGGCAGTTCTTGTTTGGAACTGGCTGTTCTCTCACAGCTTCTCAACCAGCTGAGTGTTTCTTTTAAAAAATAATATATTATAAAAAGATCCTACAATGAAATAAGTGTCTTAGATATTCCCTCCCTCCCTTTGTTCTCCCTTACTGTGTTTTGTTTTTAATGGGGAAAAATCATAAAGTTTTCCAAGTAGTTACTGCATTAGGTAAGCTATAACATTAATTGTCTGGAAATTTTCTTCAGATTCCCAAACAAGTGCAACTTCCCATATTTTGTAGTTTTTCTGACACTGGGAAGGTTATGATGAACATACGGTAGTGGGAACACAAAAAGATCAATAATTAAATATATTATAAAGCATTTTAATAAAATAATTTTTGTAACTTTGTTATAATACATGTTTGCAAAACTGAAAGGGTTTTTAAAAGTGCTAATCATTAAACACAAGTTTTTCAAAACCTTATAGTCCCACAACTCAGATATAATGGCTTCCCCTGCCCATAAAGTAGGCACACTGATTGGTCGTTTAAAAAAAAAAAAAAGTGTCACTTATCAATCAATCCAGCTTCTTTAATTTTTGTATAGAAGAATTTCTCCAGTATATTGGCACATTTGTAGTATTCACTCTCGGGGGGGTTGTACTCTCTGCAATTTGTAAAGACTCGCTGCAAGTCTGCCATGAATAATTTCTTAGACACGTAGTACCTATTCTTGAGTCGCTCACTCATTGTTTTGAGATCTGTACAGGAAAAAAATAGATTAACAATGTTTGATTCAAACAGTATTTTATGCAATATCCCTTCATGTTGATGTGCCACTTGACATGAAATGGTGAAGCTGCAGTTTGCCCTATTTCTAACTGTGTAAGTCTAAGGCCTATCCCACTTTTTAGTTTCAACAAGACCAGGTGAGCACGTGGCCCTAAGCAACATTTTACTGTAAGAACAATTTTGTGTAGAGTTTATTTTTAATTCTTCAAAACTCATTCTTGTGTGTTCTCATATTGTCTTGAGTTTCCTCTGGGTGTGAAGTATCCCTAACTCTCCACTAAACACTCTGTGAGGCAGAGCTGTTGTGAGTTTTGTGAGCTCTGCTGGAGAAGACCTGAGGAGCATACAAGTAAAGAGTTACCATGATATCATGCAATGCATGTTAACTTAAAATCCTTATTTCTGTACAAACACAGAAGAGAACAGGCATCAGAAAAGCAGAGAAAGAAAACTCTGCCAAGGGATGGTACACAGCATTCTTTTTCTTTGTTGCTAGAAAATAAATTTGTGTCAGGGACTGAGGAAGCTGGCTGCTATTTTAATAAGTACACAAATTGGTACAAACAGGCCAGGAGTCTATACAAAGCAACATGAACACTGTTCCACTAAAAGGATTGATAGCAGCCTGCAATGAACTTGTATTTCATTCTCTAATAACATTAAAAGATACAGAAGTCAGAAAGATGGAGGTGAGCATTGCACAAACAATGAAGGAATACCAGGATTGACTTTTAAGTCTGCTGCAATAGCAGTCAAAACAAGCATCTATTTAGAATAGCAAAAGTTACATGACAGCAGTCAAAAGCGAAGAAAAATGATCTCAGTTTTTGTGTACTTTCCTTTGCAAGTAATCCCACATAAACAATAGCTGCATGGGGGAAAAAATATAGCTCTGGCATGTCTAAAATACAAAGATAAAAGTTACAAGAAATGATTCATATTGCAGTTGAATAAAGAATTTTCCTAAATTTAAATTGAAGCAAGCAAGCCCTTTGTTAAGGGTTGAATTGAAAACTCTTGCACTTCTGATGAAGTCTTCTCTATGGGATTTAGAAAGCTTAAATCTAGTTTTCAAAGCAATTCAAACAGGTGTTATTGAAAGTTTGCTATCAGACTTTTTAGCATAGCAGTAGAAACTGCAATGACCAGTTACCACACAAGAACTGTTCATACAAGTCCCATAAACCAGCTAAATCCCAGAGGTTTTGAGATGTCTGCATCTTTTAAGAGCTTCACAGTGAGTCTCTAAGGGCATACTGAGATTTCACAGGAATATTTCATAAATGCTTCAGAAAGATCACAGACTACTCAAATTTCAAATGACAGCTTCATACTCTTAGCACTTCAGAGGTACAAGTTATCCAGCTGCAAATAATGTATCTTTTAACACAAAGCAATCAGATTACAATTTGTCTGTTATGCCTCTAGCTATAGAGATTTTTAAACACTATACTTAAGAAATGTTAATGGCATTACCCATGGGAAACCTTATAACTTCATAATATCCAGGAGCTTCTGTTCTCTTCACAGGTTCCATGAAGGGCCAAGCGCTTTGATGGCTCTTTGGTAAAGAAAAAAGTAAGGTATCTAATATGGAAACTCTATATTAGAAATCATTTAAAAATCTTTATAGAAGGTAAGCTAGAACGAGCACTCACCTTCACCTGCTGCAGGATGGTTTTTAATGTGCTGTAAAGTTGATCTGGATCCTTGGGCTCTTTACTGGAAAGAAAATATTAATACAAAAAGATTAGTTTGAATCCCAGATCTTCATCCCACCAAAGTGCATCATACCTAAAAGCAATTCCAAAAATTCAAGCAAAATAAAAAGTAAAATAAAAATCTTAAGAACACATCCCTGGCACATTTTTATCTGTTTTCCAATGAAGGAAAGGAAATCTCAAATGACATTACTGAAAGACTTCTCAAAGGAATCTCAAATCCACTTCATTATTCTCTGTGCAGCACTTACCCTCTTTCTTTTCCGCTTGGTTTCCAGCCAGTCTCTCCTGTACACCAACAGCATGAGAGATTACATGAGAACTACAGTAGGTCAAAACATTAACTGAGTTATGGCAACTCTAAAAATATAAGCAATTTCAGCACTGTCATAGCAAACTAGGTTAGTTTTCATAAAAGCTACTTCTAATAAGAAATGCAACAACCTAACTTAGAGCCCCATTCAATTTTCTGCATGACCCTTCTTCCAGACTGCTGAGAAGATTCTAAAATAGTATTTTGTGATATGTGATACACCCGTTTGTAAAAGTAATTCAGTACATATTTTACCATAACCTCTGTAAAGAAAAAGATAGAAAGGTTGATCAATTTGATTCCCTAAGAAAATAGAATAAACTGCAGAAAAACAGTGCTGAGCAAATAAAAAAGAAAAAAAAAAGAAAGAAAAAAAAGAAAAAAAAGAAGATACTTCAATGTCCTGAATCTATTTTATCCTGTTCTAAGTCCATGGAAGTCCATGTTTAACACAGAATTCAACCTTATTCAGGAGTGCAGTGCATCAGTGGTGACATCGAAATTGCTGACTATACTGTGATATAAATTAAAGATGGATCTGATGTAAATCAAATTAAACACGTACACAAAAGAGCATCAGCCTTGGATGCCTTGAGGAAGTACTGAAGACATCAGCTGTAATGGAAATGCAATAATCTTCATTGGAATCAAATTAACACGAAAAATCAATTGCATATTAGTAAAAAATAAATAAGTGATTGTATTAGTATTTATTATCTTGGATATTTCTTGGGTTGTTCTGCTTCTGTTCTACATTTAAAGAGATTGATACATACTAATTCCAGGGATGCTTTCTATAGGAATCTGTCGTACTCCATCTTTGAAGCAAGAAAGGCCAGGATAAACTTTTCGAATCTGAGCTTGTTTCCTTTCTATGAGCTTTTTAATGATCTGTAATTAAGCAGCAGAGAAAACAAAAAGAGTTGATGTGCTCCAAAGTAACAAAGAACTGTGATGAGCAAAAAGACACTCACAACCTGATCTTATGGTCCTTACAAATACAAGTGGCTAACAGAGGCAAGAAACCTGGCCAAGCACTAATTCTGCAGATGAGTCTATCAAGTCTCTCAGATGTCTACTTAGGTGCAGGTCTGGAGAAAAGGAGTCATAGCTCACTGATCACAGCCTGCAAAGCTCCTGGGCAGGTGGCAGATGTACGGAAGGAAATTTCCTGGAAGTTGTTGGGGAACTGCCTCTAACTCCAACATCTGGTGCTTGGGAACTATTTCCACACATCCTGGTCAGAAATTTTAAGACACATTTGTTCTCATACTGCAGTATTTTAGAAGTATCTGGAGATTTCAAAGCCTGCATGTAAATGCAGAATTTGCTTAGATATTAGTCAGAGATGTTCTTACTAAAGACTTTACCTTTAGGAAGACAAAGTTGATTCTACTTTTCGGACCCTATATTCTACTTGTAAATGACAAAAAAGGCTTCCCCAGACCAGATGGTTTGAGCTTATAACTGTATTACTTCTATTAGGCATGTTTAAGAGAAGCAACATTAGCAAACTACAAGAGATAAGTGTTATGTGCCCACCCAACAACATCCCATCCATGAGGAGATGATGGGTCCAAAAGAACACTGGAATCTGAAGAGTAACCCAAACAAACAGATATAAGAGGTAAAAATAACTATTTGTGCTATATGGACTTTAGTTATCAAAACCTTCCCAGTAAGTTAATTTTTTTTTTTTTTTTTTTTTTTTTATAGGAATCATACAACAGCTGAGTTGAAAAGCACCTCTTCACAGCACTATCTAAAAATCAAACCCTATATCTGAGAGCACTGCCCAAACACTTCTTGAACTATCTAGCAGCTTGGGGCTGGGACCACTGCCCTGGGGAGCCAGTTCCAGTGCCTGACCACCCTCTGGTAAGAAACCTTTTCCTGATATCCAGTGTAACTTTCCCCTGATGCAGCTTCATGCTATTCCCTTGGTCACTAGAGAGAAGAGATAAGCATACTAAATGCACAACCCTCAAATTCTTTCTTTCTTTTTGTCACCATAGGCCAAATAGTTCTACTGGAAGGAAAATGATTGGTCCACAAAGAAGTATTTTATCAAATGCTTTACAAGTGATCAGATTAGACTATCCTTGGAAGAATAAAGTTAGTCTTGTGATTTCTATTTCTTTAAATGTCTAGGAACGTATTTAAACACAACTGGAAATGTCTTAATTATTTTGCTTATGAATTGTTATTATATTGAAAACTATGATTCACTAACATTAACTTCAAAAATGAACGACCTGGAATTTAAGAAAACTTAAGAAATTTAAGAAAGATTTGTCCATTAAAGCATTAAAATCGTAATATATCTTAATGAATCAATTTAGTTATTAAACACAGCTCAAAATATCAGTACTTTTTTAAGACTTAAATTGCAGAAGTATGGCGCTGAGGCTTGAAATAAAAATTCCTTAAAGAAAAATGTACACTCTAAAGCATCAAAGAAAATGAGAGAAAACTTGATACTAAATGAATTGCTTCTAAACAGCGCTCCTACATGGCTTCTGACCATCTAAACAGATGACAATATTCAGTGTTTCATTTCAGCTTTTACCTCCTTTTGTTTTTTAATGATGACCGAAAATTCTGTGTAGGGAATCCTTGGATTTAATTCACATCCCATTAACGTGGCACCCTCATAATCCTTGATGTAGCCAACATATTTTGCTTTTGGTACTTTAATATCTTTGGAAAAACCCTGAAAAAGAAATAAATTGAACTTGTCATTACACAATTTTCTTTTTATGTATTTTTAAATGAAAGAGCTGTGATAATTTAGAACCAAATTGTAATTTTACATATATGTGAAAATATATACTGATATGCTGCAGTGTTCATATAGTTAAAAAAAAGTAAAGTGAAAAAGAAACACAATAGAATCAGTGTAAGACTCTCATTTGGGCTCTATTTCGTTATTACATTTCAGTGGTTTATATAAAACCTTGGTAAAAAAACAGGAAGCCAACCAGGACTTCTGCCTCACCATTTACAGTCAAAGCCTTCAGTCTTACCTGGATACTGAGCAACTTCAAATTTGGGAAAGATATTTCAGAGGCAAAAAGGAGTCTGTCTGCATAGGTCTTATAGTAGAATCACAAGCTTACAATTAATTCATTCTTGATGTGTAAAGAACAAATTCAGTGTTGTATGTTTAATCATAGAATAAGTGGGAGTGGAAGGGACTTGTGGAGGTCATCAGAACAGGTTCTTCAGTGCTCTGTACAGTCTTGAAAACTGCCAAGGGCAGAGAAGTTCTACAAACCCTTTGGGCAACATTTTCCATTTCACCTCCCTTACAATATAAAAGGTAAAAATAAAACTCCTTATGTCTAGTTGCAGTTTCACACTATGCATATCTAACTACTCTGTTTATTCAGTTCGATCACTTCTAGAAGTAAACTTCTTGCATCAAGTAATTTCTTAGTGTGACTTACTTGTTTTTTGAAGTAGCCGATAGCATATTCATCTGCATATGTGAGAAAGTTGAGAATGTTGTGTTTGATGTGGTACTCCTTCAAATGGTTCATTAGGTGAGTTCCATAACCCTGTGTGAAATGTGGGAGAACAAAGACAGTTTGAAGCCTTTGGGGACTACAAATATTAGACACTGTAAACCAACAGTTATTATAAACTTGTTTACAAAATGCAGTGCTTCCTCTATATCCTGTTTTAAAAATTTTGTCATAAATGACTTAGTGAGGTGTACTCCAGACCTAATAGTTTTCAGCCTTGTAGGAATATCTTTGTGACCTAGCAAGAAACACAATATTGCAGCTTCTGATGCCTGATTCACTTTTAATCTAGGAGAGCCCCAAACCTATTCTCCCTCTAGGGGTAGAAATGGAATTACAGAATCATAGAATGGCCTGGGTTGAAAAGGACCTCAAAGATCACCCAGTTTCAACCCCTCTGCTGTATGCAGGGTCACCAACCACCAGACCAGGCTGCCCAGAGCCTCATCCAGCCTGGCCTTGAATGCCTCCAGGGATGGGGCATCCACAACCTCCTTGGGCAACCTGTTCCAGTGCATCACCACCTTCTGGGTGAAAAACTTCCTCACCTAAACCTCCCCTGTCTCAGTTTAAAACCATTCCCCCTTGTCCTATCACTATCCACCTTTGTAAACAGCCGTTCTTCCTCCTGTTTATGTGCTCCCTTCAAGTACAGAAAGGCCACAATGAAGTCTCCTCAGAGCCTTCTCTTCTCCAAGCTAAACAAGCTCAGTTCCCTCAATCTTTCTTCATAGTAAAGTGTGCCTCAAAAGGGTACATTGTCTTGAAAGGTGTAATTCAACATGCAAAAAATTTTTTTCTTTTAAGCTACCATCTGCTAATAGAAGCAAAATTACTTATATTGTAATAATAAGGCATCCTGTCTTTGTCACATCACTTAAAATTTGCAAGACAAAGGGATTGCCTCACCAACTCCTAGAGAAAACCATTCTGGCCTCTCTTTTACTGAGTTCTGTATATCTACAGCAGAAACAGCCTCTTCCTTCATCTTTCATTCTTTCATGTTTGACCATGGAGCATTAAAGGGAATAGTGAAATAGCTATTACCACAATAAGTAGTATAAAAATAAATAGCTATGCCTTCTGACTGCACACAGAAATAATTTTCATTTTCATTCAACCCCAAAGTAAACAAAAGTTTCCATTTATTCACACTTTCAAGTGAGCTATAGGTTTCCCCTTCTGCTGTGAGAAAAAAAAAAAAAAAAATGCAAAAGACAGGAAATTCCATAATAATGTGTTGTTCCTCCATATGTTCAAATTATAACGTCTTAAAGAATAACGAAATTTTCACAAATGTACACAGAATGTTTTCAAATACTTTTCTTGAAAGCAGGGGAAAAATTATTTACGTAACTAGGACATGTACATTAGAAAATACGTACTTATGACTCAAAAATTTAATAGCCTTGAACATGAAAACAGCAGACAAAAGCAAGTTGGGTAATTGCTGAAATTCAAAACAAAACACAGTGATACACTAGTAGTGAAAAGGTAGTGACATACATTCTTGAAAAATGTACCACTCCGAGCACAAAATTAGTGCATTTATCTTTCCTTTCCTGATATTTTTCAAAGCATCTGTTATTCAGACCTCATATTCAAAATGAAGACATTGTGTATGAAAAAATAAATACTTCTGAATTTGAGGAAGCTCTTAGAGCAGAATAGTCATTTGTTAAAGCAGCAGATATTGTGCACAGCATTAATTACAAAGTAGTTTTACAACTGATGGCATGTTAAGTGGGATAGCATTTCTTAGAAGAGCTGAAAATAATGAAGAGACTTTCTGATTGCAAATTTCATAACTCTGCAGAGGACAGGAAGTCTCAAAAATTTTCAAGAAAATCGTTTTAATTAAGTGCATAAGCCACCCAAGCTTTTCACTTCCTTTCTCATCAACAGGGTGCAAGAAACAGGGTGTGAGACATTTTACTTACAACTCGAAACATTGCAATTCATTCCAATAATCCCAAAGCAGCAAATCTCTAACACAAATTGTCATCTTTTTGTCTCCAAGAAATTCCAGAAATTATGACGACAATTAGTTCAAATATTTTTAGTTGACTTATTATTTTTATAACCTTCCCAGCATTTATTTCTTCTCACAAATGCTTGCCAAAGTCCAACAATACTACAGAGAAACAAAGTCACGTACAATTCAATTTAAAATAATTTCATAATACAGCATCAGTCTATCTCAAAACCAAATTAATTTTTAAAGATCACACACAAAACAGTATCCATATTTCTTACTCTAGCCTCAAACTGAATTAAAATGTGTTTATTTTTCCCAAGAGTTTGCAGTGATATCCCTGCGTGAACATTTGTTTTTTCTCACTTATCTGCTGCTAGGGGTTATCTTACTTACAAAGGAATGTGAGAAGGCCAAAATTAAGAAACAATCAACTCAACTCCACAAACATTGAGGCACCCAAAGGGTAACAGAAGAAACTGTGCTTCATGTGTGCATTTGCAACCTAGGTAGGCACTGTGAGGAATCAGATTTTTGCTCCATTATATTTGGAAAGGTTAACCCTTGAGAATCACAACAAATATTTGGCAGCTTAACTCCTGTAGCGCATTTGAATGCCTGAGTTTAATTAAAACACTTTTTATGAATTATTTAAGCACAGAATAAACATACCTACAGCATGCTCTGTTACTGTTCATATAAAACACTTTGAGTACTTTTTTTATATACTACTGTGACCACAGAAATGTTAACCTTCTAAATTCAAAGAGTATCATAAATTCAAATATAATTCAAGTACTAAAACTTGCCACAGGCTTCCACACAGTTTCTGCTTGTTCATCTGCTAGAAACTCTAAATCAATCCATATCTCAGCTTTTACAATTTCAACTGAAAAACATATAGCTACAGCACCATCTAAAGGCTGAATCCTGAACCAAATACTCTCAGATTTACCTGTAATCCTGGCGAAGGGGAGCAGAATCTCCTGTATATTTATAATGCTTTACATTCTCTCAACATTACAGCTCAACACTGAGAACATTTTGTAAACCGGACTCAAAAATAAGTATTCAAAGTAGTGTATGCTTATTTTGAGTTGTAAAACTATACCTAATTTATTCGATATACCTAATTTTCATTGATGATGTGTAACATCATAAAGTGATTGAACATAAATTACAAACACATGCAAGCCATGCTTATTTCAGCCAACTGTGAGGTGTAATGCCACACTGAGAGGCAGTTGCCGAAGAAAAGGGTGAATAATCCAAGAATGGAAGAAAAATTACCATTATTTTTGTGTTGAGGAAAGTGTGGGGTTTTTTTGTTGTTTTTTTTTTTTTTTAGAAAATGGTCCTACTATTATTCTGATGATTTTAAATCTGCACAATTATTTAGGTTTTCTATAGTATATTCAGAATTACTGTATCTTTCAAATTCAATTTTTGTTTGGTAGCCCAATATATTGAATGTGACTACAAAATTAGGAGTATATGTGTGGTAAACTGAACTCATATGCATTCAATAAACTCTAGTGGAGAGTTAATTTTACCTTGACTTGCTCATTGGAAGTCACAGCACAGAAAACGATCTCTGTAAATCCTTGGGAAGGGAACATTCGGAAGCAGATACCGCCAATAACGCGACCATCTTTTATTAATGCAAGAGTCTTGTGTTTCCTGAGTAGACAAAAATAACATTCATTTTAATTCACATACATAGTACATAATGTGCCATTACTTCCCTTTTTTCAGAAACTTGATTCACTTCTTTACATGGTTCCACTGCAATTGTATATGCTTCTGTTAAGATACCTGTTTGTATCACTGAAGAGTTTGTCTTAACATCATGCTTTGAATTTACCATAAAATTCATCATTATGCAGCATGTCCTAGCCTTGCCAAGTACTCCTACATACTAGAGTACTCCTATTAATAAGAGTTATATTGCTTTTGTTGACTATATTACTGACAGTTGTGCCATTGCATAGTTCTCAGTATGGTCTTAGCCTGCCTAAATTAGAAATTAATGGAGTTACAGGACAGCAATCCTAACAATCCTAAGGGATGCCTGTTTTCTTGCATGTACTCTGAATAGCTATGCCATCAGTTTTCAACGCAGGTGATCAAGCAATAAATGACACTTCATATTTCTAATGCAATTCCTAGTGGAATGGAGACCAGAATAAATATCCAGTTAAAATATTCAGTTGCACTTACACTGAATGCCAGGAAAGATAAAGCAAGGCACAATTTGAACTCTCACATCAAGGACCAAGAATTTTAGCACCATCCTCAAGGTCTGGAAAGATTTGCACTGTGTTCTCTAGCTTATTCAGTACATAATATAATATAAATTGTATAAACAATACTGTAAATTCAGAGAAGATATCTCTGGTGTGAAGGAAAGATGCTGCCAAAAATGAGCCACTTCCAAAAAAGGTCAGTCTGAAAAGTACTTGCATTATAAACATCACTGTCGAAGTAGAATTTATATATTGTACATATTCTTCTTTTTTGTCTTTATTTTGGTACTTTTTATTTGTAGAATGACAGCAGTGTGTAGTAGCTTGTGTTTTTAATTTTGTTTCTTCATGTTTGAGTTGTTACAAAAAGATTTACTAAGGATGACCACTGTGGAAATAAGAACAAAATAGATCACGATTACATTAACAGCTGGAAAGACTTGGGAAGAGAACAGTTAGACTTCACTGTCTCCTACTGGATGAGGTTTGTGTCTACCCACTACTCAGTGTAGGTCTCCAACTAGTGTCTCTGGACATCATGGCAGATATTGGGTTTCTCAGCTGTCCAAGCTACTCGTTTTCCTTCCGTTGGGTCAACTGTTCAAAAAAGGCACCAGGGGGAGCAATATTCTTGCCGTAGCAATATCTATATCTCTTTCTCAAGCACGTCTGCTCTCCAGCTATATCCACACTGAAGAGCACTTTAACAACCAGCAATTCTTATCAACCTACTAGAAGAGTCTTTCCCAATAAAGAAGGGCCTAGAGAAATGCGGGAGGAGGCCATGGCCCAAGACCACTGCTTCAAGATTTACTTATATGTTTGGTTATTGTGGAACCTAAACTTCTTCAACCAGTAGCCTTTGCTTGAGATCACAGTACTGCTAAGACTCTTGAATTCAGAAAAGTTCTCAGTGCTACCTCCTAATCAAGCAGCATTTATCCTCACGTAGAAGAAGCAAAAGATTCCAGAGCGGTGATGGTCCTCATAAGAACCTTGTTGATCTCTTCTGAAGAGAGCAGGATAAAGTCCCAGGGCTGGTCTCCTATGCTTGGAGACTGAAGTTCTTCCCACCTTTACCAGCACTGGGCTGCCAGAGCTTCAGAGACTGCACAGAGCATGCAGCAGCAGAGCTGGTTGGCACTGAGAGTAGTGCAGAGGGAAGTGCTAGCAAGGTTAACAGCAGAGGAAATCATTCCACAAATGTTTTCATAACTGCTGCAGCAATAATATCAGACACAAAGACAGTGGCTGATATCACTGGTGTTGGAGGTAGGCTCTACCACTAACCAGGCTGGGCAGCTGTCTAGATCAGCTCAAGCAGAGCTCCTTTTGTGGTCTCTACTGACATGTAGCAAAGAGCCTACAAGCACACTACACTGTGAAGAGCTGCAGTCAGCATAGTAGGCTCCTAGATCCTCACTGGACTGTGAATTGGATTGTTCACAGAAATTTGGGGAAAACACATTGGTTGGAAGTAGACTCTGTAACAAGTGCAACAGTGAAAAAATAGACACTTCTGAGGAAAAGGTAAAGAAACTGTCAGGGCTACAAATAGCCTTAATTTATTGATCAAAAAGAAGATTGATACCTAACATCCTTGAAACTGTAAAGGGTTGAAATCAACAGCAAGAGAGTGTTGTAAACAGAAGAAAAATGTCCATGTAGTTCAACAGCTAAGCAGAAGATAAAAATCAGAATGGAGAGAGCGTAAATGTCCATGAACCTAAGAAAAACCTTTTTTTCCTGCTTAAACACAATTCATCAGTTCACTAGGGTGGATGTAGGACAACATGCAACCTGTGGATGCTGCTACAGCCAGTATATCTCTTTACAAGTGCCTATGGTGTAGATTTGTACCTAAAGCAAGACAGGAAATGTGCACGGATAAAGAGAAAATCTATGTACTGATGTGAGGAGTGATTCTAAGCATTCTCCCCATGTTGACTTAAATGTTGTTCTTCATAAATTCCACAAGTTCTTCTCACTGAAAAGCCTTCAATCTCTGCTGCCATTTGGTTTACAAACTCCAAAAACACAGGATGGAGCAGTCTGCAAGTCAGTATGGGCCCAGAGACCACTAACAAACACCATAATTATTTTCTGATTTTTGGTTCTAACGTTCATAAGAATAACATATGTAGGAGCTTCATTAATTCAGCATTCATTTATTCAGCCACAAAAAAAGTATTTAGTTGCCAGTAGGACTGGCCAAGATTCACAGTGCCTGGAAAAGGTGGTAAAAAGGGTAGCAGGGGCAGAGTTCCCCTCTACAGTATTTGGGCTGGCCCATTCTAAAATCATTGCCTACAACAAGCATCATGCTCTCTCCATTTCACTCATGAAATTCCTCTGCAGCTGTACTCACGGATCAAAAACCAAACGTGTGATGTACTCCTTTGGCATTCGAGGGAGCTGATGGGAGAACACGTTCTGCAAACCAACCAGCCACATCATGATCTTCTTGTTTGGCTTCTGGTTCAGGGAGTTCCCAACCACGTGGAATTCAATCACCCCCCTGCGCTCCTCCAGTCTTGCTGCCTCATCCCGAGCTGAATGTGCCGAGAGGAAGTTGGTCTGTATGAAAGAGGAACACAATCACATTGTATGTATTTCACATCCTCTGATGCAACAACCTTAAGAAACAAATAAACCCTGTTCTTTTCCTAAGCCATCTGTTATACAAAAATTGAGCTGTCGATGATTACTCTTTATTTTGTTTTAAGCAGAAATGACAACATCAAATAAGCAGATACAAAATCTATGCTACAATACACAAAGGCATATTCAAGCTTCTTCTCAAGATTATGTATCAACAGTGATTTCTATATCTCAGCATGTTCCAAAACATGACAGGGGACAGCATTCATCCTGTTGAAGTTCACGTCACCATGTCTTCACATTTTCTTTAGCTTGGGCAGAAATAGTAATGAATTTGCCTAAACATATTGCAAACCAGAGACTTTAATGGCTTTGGAGGCATAGGTTTATCTTTTCATTTTAGCAGCGCTTTCCACTACCTACATCACTATCATAAAAGAAAAAAGAAAAAAGAAAAAAGGAATTTCTTAATTCCTACTGTTTTTGTCGTTATATATCTAGCAACTGCATATGCATATTTGCACAGAGATGAAATTCATACAGTCAATTCAACTTTTTCCAAGATCCTTTTACAATGCCAAAAGATTCCTGCATGTACATACTGTTTACTTTCTTAAAAGAAATTTGGCTGCTGAGTTTCCAGTCACTGCCAGGCCCAACATCCAGACTGTAAATACGCAAAGCCATCAGTCACAGTGTATATCTTGAGCAAGAAATGTAGGTGGTTCCAAACCTTCAGCACTCTCTAGCTAAATCTTGGCAAACAAGAGCTGCTTGCAAAACATAGCCTGGCAAAGAGAACAGAAGGAGGAAAAGCCAGCCAAAAAAAAAAGTGTGCAATTCTGCAATTCTGTTTGTTTTTCTCTTCCAGGAGAAAAAAAGAGCAACTGTGGAAGAAGGAGCAACTAAGTGTTTAGATCAGCTCTTCTGCACTAGACAGAAGATTTAAATCTGGGTCTTTCATCCTTGTGCAGGACTTGAACATATTTTGCCTTGTCTGACATGCTGTATATATGATTAACAACAGAATGTGTACTCTGGAATTATCCTGCTAAAAAAAGTATATTACAAAATAACCTCAAAACAACTTCTTCACTATTATAGTTTCAAATCTCTTTGCAAACAGCACACAAAGCCTTAAGAAAATTTAGATTATTCTTCATTTTAATGATGCATTTCACCAATAGTGTTTGCTTACCTAAAATACCCTTTTAAAGACTGTATGTTTCATACAGATAGTATAGCACGTTTTGTGGACTCTTGTCTTACTCAGTTCATATGGAACATTTATTAAAAACTGGCCATTTACAGACAGATCAGGTCTATACGTTCCTCACCTCTGGCCCAAGCATTGCCGCAGGATCTGTAATTGTTGACATCACTTCATTGATCAACTCAATAGGAATATCTCCTATAACCCTTGGTCTTTTTGAGTCCTCCAGAGAATACGGTTCATTATTTTTTCTCTTTTCCCCTACAAAACAAAGCCAGGACAAATTTAAAAAGACCAAACTTTCACAAACAGTTTAATCGCTATACTCATGAAACCAGCTAAGAGGAAGCAGAGCATGATTGTGAATCAGTTTAAATATTCTCACACATAAGCAGAAGGTTAATCACTTTTGTAATTAATCACTTTCTAATAAGAAGCTAGGATTTGAAGGTTTTTTTTATAGATAGAAAAGAAATTTGAATCTTAAATACTAATATACCAAGTATGAACCTACAAAAAGCCTGAACAGCATCAGCTGTTCAAAAATTGTAAGTGAGGTAAACATAGTGGATGAAGAAGCACTGCAATAAGGAATATATTATCAAGGTAAAGACCTCAAGTTATTTCAGACTCTGTTTCTTTAATCATGAATGCTGGGTGTAAGACACTGCCTCAGGGACCTAGAACAGAAGTTAACCTCTGAAAAAAAACCCACAAAGTAACCTGGAAAAGTGCTAACAAAGCTCAGCCTTACAGCACAGGATACTATCCATCCCCAGTCAACATGGAACATGAGGTTAGGTAACATCTACAAGTCTCCATTTCAGCTCTTAGACCTTCACTTCTTTTTTCTCCAAGATAACAAAGGCACTTAGACTTGGGACATGCTGTCCCTCCAAAAGTAATAGGACAACAATGTCTGACATCAGCTGTTCACAAACACTGCAAAATTAAAAGTAGAAGAAATTGGAACAAAATAGCAAGATTAGGTGGCAGTGTATCAGAGAAGTACAGTACTTTCCAACAAATACACATGCCAGTATGATAAATAAAGTAACTATGATTTACCCAATCCATTTAAATTGAATGATTAAAAAAAAATTACATTAAGAATCCCTTTCTCAAAGTTCTTAAACTGAAGCCAAATTGTCAGTGAAGTTATGTTGGTACAAAGTACACAGTATGAAATATTCCTTAGTTGATGTAATTATATCACAAATTTATCTTGCACAGTCACAAAAATGCTATCAAAACTGACTTCTTGCTCACTAATATGCATTGCTGCACACACAATATTAAAAATTTTTGCCCTTTCGTGAGACTGCTGTATTTTAATAAAGTATTATTCTTCCACTGCCACCTCAAGAGTAAATACAATATACAAGATATTGATAATACTTTGAACCTAACACATGTGTAACATGCACAGTCTAAGAGGAAAAAAAAGAGCATTATTTTAACGTTGGTCAGATGTAAAGAGTTAATGTAAAAAATAAGTGGTGGATCCTGAGAAAGTTCCCTCCCTTCTGTCTTGGAAAGCCACAGTAATGATTATTATTCCCAAGAATCTTTGTCCCTTTGACTATCACCTTGTCTTTCTCTTCTTACAACTCAGGCCTTAGATCATACTGACGCACATTACAAAGACCAGTTAACACTTCTCCTCTGCTTCCCTTCCTTCCTCTATCAACATTTCCTTTTGCTTTTACTATTTGCTACTCCTGTATTCTATCCCACCTCATTTCTCAGCTATGTTTTTGTTAAGTAGTCCTGTACTCTAGCACTTCTGCTATATTCTTCAGCTTGTATGTGAAGTATGGGGAATTATACGTATGTTTTATTCCTATAATGTCAGGGTGAATATACCTCTCCTTGCTCTGTTCCTCTACAAAATCATAATGAAATTACTCACTTCTCTGTTTACCTCAACACAATCTGTGGTGAAATTCTGTGCTGCTGACCTGGAGGGTAAGTGCTCAATATATATTTTTGGGTAACATACTATTTCATTTTGTGATTTATTGGAATTAAGTATCCATTATAGATTTTTTTCACTCTTATTGTATACCAAACAAGTGCAGTCTGACATGTCATACATATTTGACTTAGAAAATCAATATGAAGGTTCCAAATCAAAACGCACTGTGTTAATTATTAACCATACTACTAACTGTATACCAACACGTGATATAGCAACAGCAACTAATTAAACAAATTCATGAAGGAAGCTTTTACCAAAGACAGGAATTTCATTCCATAATTACCTTTTTCTTATAGTTTTCTTTTCTTTTTTTTTTTTTTTTTTTCCTAAAGATCTGAGACTGCTTCTTGTCAGAGCCAGGATAGAGAGTTTTGACTGTGAATAGCACTTGTCGGTGAGCTACATTTTTGCTTGCTTGTTTGTTTTCACTTTGTTTTGTGAAACAGGAAAATCCACAATAACGCTGAGACCACCAGATAGTTCAGGGCCCAATATTTTACCTATATTGTACAGACTGTCTTGCCACAAATACAGTACTCTAAGTACATGAATATTAAGTTGTTCACTCCCCTTTTTAGACTTTCAAGCAGCATAATTGTTTGATTAGCAATAGAATTTTATTATTAACCTTAATTCATTGTGGAAATTGTTTATTCGTATTATTTATTTCCTAGTTTTTAAAGTCATTCATATGTGAATTAACTTTCCTCCTTATTTCTTATTGTAATTTGTCACAAGCTTTCTGGAAATCTGGGTACATTAGATCATTCAAAATTCTTTTCAAATGTTCACCATTGTCCACCAATGGACATTCATGTGTTTTACAAAATAAATGCCAAGTTTCCACATATCACGTTACACATATATTAATTCATTCAATTTTTAATCAGTTTATTATTTTCTCTTCTAACCATCTGAAATGGGAATCACAGTTTAAAAGTTTTCTGAATTTTCTTAGAATCCCTTTAAAAGCCAGTTTTGTACCCATGATGTTTCAATTCTATAGTGCTGAAAGCAAACTGAATGATAGCCCAGCTGCACAGCTTCATTAGCTTGTCAATTCCATATTTCTTTTCACACACTGAGAAAATATCATTTTTTCTTGTGACTATTTACTACACATTTTACCACTTTTAAGGTCATCTCTCAACTAGTTTTTCAAAAAGAAGGCTGCAGTTCAGGAGATTCCCTAAGTTCCTCTGCAGACAACATTAACAATTCACTTCTTCAGCTTCCTTGAGGACTTATTTCATATAAGCTTGTGATCACTTCTTTGACTTACAAACTCCTTTGATAGACTCATGATTGAGGTATTTGAAAAATGTTTATGAGGAGAACTTACTCATTCAACATCTTTTTATTTTTCCCAAAATACCTTATTATAATCTGACCTCATTCCGGTATTATGTTTAACCTTGTGTGCGTTTGTTCTTTACTTTATTGCTCGTAAGTATGCAATTTCAGTACCTCAAAAGTTTGAAAAAAATAAAAAATAAAAAGCAATGGCCCCTTCTACTCTGCCTTTTCTATTTAAACAAAACCTTTTTTTCATCAGTTATGGTACTTCACTACAAGTGAAGTGTTTTTCAATGTCTGTCATATACAGAACTTTTACCATATAATTATATGGTAAAATAAAATAGAATTTAAACAAACTGATGGATTCTTTTTTCAAAGACAGTTGCCATATCTTCCAGTTAAATATTACCATAGAGGAGAAAAGCTATGCATGTCTGCATGTGTCTTTTAGTAAAACCACCTCACTGCAACGTGAAAGCCATGATCATCGTATACTATAACTACTGTTAACATTAACAGAAGCAAGAAGGTGAGTCTCCATCTTTGTTACCTAAGTTTGGGTCAAGGACTGAGGAAACTTTGCAAGCAGGACTCATATTTCCACTGTTGGGTTGCTCCAGAGATGACGGGCTTGCACAATATGAAACAGATCTTGCAACAGGAGGAGGATTGATAACTGCAATGGTATGAAAAGCACACAAATAAAAATCAGGATACAAAATCCATTACAGTGCTGATCAAACAACTGTCATGACCATGGATTCAGCTTCACTACAACTCACCTAGAAAGTAACATTATCAATATCAACAGAGCAATTGGTGGGCAAGCAGAGATACTAGAGCTTTACCTCAACATATTTTTCCTAAACTTAGTGAGGAACTGTACTACTTCTGGATGACAGCATTAGTTACACCTCACTGCAAAAATCTGGCCTTATTATTCTGCAGTGCTGAGCACATATTAAGAAAATTAGCTTTCTTCACATGTCTGCCAAGGTTACTGGCATTCAGCCTGAAGAAAAGACTTTTTGCAGGGGCTCATTGAAAAGTAAAAATTCATCATTCAACTTCATCTGTCCACTTTAACAGCATTTAAAGGCTGGTTGGACAAATCAAACTCAAGGAAGGGAGAACTTGTTACACCAGTTAAGAGGTTGAAAGTACTCTTTCAGAAAGTTACAGTCAAACCTCTCTCTAAATTTAAAAACAAACAAAACCAAACAAGGAAGAAAAAAAAACCACCGCATGTAAAATCATCCAGCTTTCATTTGTTTCAGGATTTTTGGCAGGAAGGCCAAAATGGGAGGGAGGAGGGGAAATGAGGTGCCAGCTCTCAATCTGGACACCTGCAGTCTTTCTCTCTGCATTCCTTTATCCTGGTGTCATCACCAGCAACAGCTCTTTGGTGCCATTTCCATGCCAAGAATCCAGTGCTTAAGAGCTGCAAATTAAAATGAAGCACTTCAGAAATGTACATGAAAGAATAAATTCTGAGAGCAAGATGATTTTAGAGTTGTAATAAATTTGTGCCTAAAGCATAATTTACCAGTTTGTGAACTCAGAAATTAGGAATTTCTAAGAAAAAAAATGTATTTCTCTCACAATGGAATTTTCTCTACTAATCTCAGAAACTAATTATCAGATGAAGTCCTGACATAGCAGTTCAATCAACTGATAATCAGCAATTGTTGCAAAATACTGAATTAAATGACTCTAGTCTTCACTTCCTAAAATAATCAAGTGAACCTATAAACTGCAAAAGCAGATTTTAAATGCTGTTGAGCAGAATAGAGAGGTAGAGCAAAAGAAAACTATCATCATTGTATTCCTGCAATTTCAAGGGTGACTTACAGACCTCTGAGTTACCTAGGAGAGAAGTGAATAAATCTGGAGAAAGAAAGGAAACAAAGTAAGGAAAAGCTATGCAAATGCCAAAAAATCAAGTGCATGTTTGCATCCAAAGCAGAGGGTAAAATGCTGCCAGGTAGCCAGTGAACTGGCATGGGTCACTAAACCCTGCTTACCTGTCTGGATTCCCAGCTGGCCAGTTCGAGAAGTAGACACCATGAAATCCTGATCCCAAATAGGAGAATTTGGGCTGTACACTTCTTCTTCCAGCATTGACAGAAACCTAGGCACAAAAACAGATGAAATATTAACTTAAAAGAAGAATTCAATACAGGATTTTTTTTAGAATAAAGACTTTCTAAGTAAAAAAATAATAGCTCTGTAAAAAAACACTGTTGGTCAATCTTCTTCAAATAAACTAATGTGCACACTATCACAAAATGGAGTAGACAGTAAGTATCTTAATTCAGTAGAGAGATGATGCCTACAACAATTTGTCTGATTGTAAGCAATATGTGCCTAACTTGATGGAAAAAAAAAACAAAAACAAAAACAACAACAAACCAATGGGTAGAATCTAGACCAAAACTAAGCACTAATAAGAAAGCTGAATGTAGGCAGATTATAGGTAGCGATGGTATATAATGATGACAAAATATGTCTACCTACATAAGCCAGTGTTTTGTAGATATATTTGCCTCCTGCATCTCACAGATTCACAAAATCACAGTTTTAGTTATTAACAATAGGAAGACATTTTCATTCCTTTAAGTGTGTTACTGCAACATTTAATTGCATGTTTATGCTTTTAGAGTAGTATTTTTTATCTCATTTTGGTACACTTACAGAAACTTTCAACCTTTCTCAATATTACTGCAAATGAAAGGAACTCCAGAGTGGACTGCCCAGCACTCTTGGTTTCATGTGGCTAATACATCCATTCCCTTTCTGAAGCAAGATAGCTGCTTATCCTATTTTGCACAGCAGGAGTTTTCAGACCAGAAGATATCTGACATTTAATTATTCTCTAGAGTCATCTGTATATACAGAAAATGCCCAGCTGAAAGCAACCAGACTGCTGAGTAAGACTTTCATGAACAGGGAAAGGATGTTCAAGATCAAGTCCTGCTGATGTATTTTATACACAGCATGTTTATACCTAAGGACAGCAACATGTGGTGCTGGCTGCTATCCCTACTGCTAATAATGGCTAGAAAGCAACTTCACCACTTGTGACTTCTTACAAGTACAAATGAATATTCAGCAAAGGCTGCATTTCAGGTAGCGCGATTTGCACTCAGCTCCAAGGTGGCTGCTTCCTAGGCTCAGACAGACACGTCACTGTGCCAAAGGAACTCAGAAATCTGCAGTCCTGAAAACCTTCCTCAGATATCATTTCTCATTCTTAACTGGGGGCTACTGATCACCCACACTGCTGGCAGCACACTCACAGCTCTGTTGCATGACAAGTCTCTAACAATATTTCTTTTGAACCACATCCACCTAGTTCTCCTGAGAGCAGTAACACCCTTTGGAGGAGCAGGAGGGAGCCCAGCCCCAGTACAGGACTCCCGCTCCATGCTCTGAGCTGTAGCACTCTGGCATATCTCACTGCATAACATCAGCAGTCAAAGACAAGCGCTTCAGACAAGGCAGCCTGCAGAAAATTTAAAACACTCAGTAAACAGTGATATTCTTCTTCTCTTATTTCCCCAAATGCAGTGAACATTTAATGTTGTCCAAATAACTTTTCCAGGCTTTGGAAATGTAGGGACAGCTTTCCCCTGTGCAAGTCTGCTCCTTGTACCAATGTGGTGTTGAATCTTCCTTACATCTACCTCAAGGCCAGATCACAATCCTGTTCTCAGATACACCAAGCACTCCTGTAAAAGTCTGCCCCAGAGACAGTTAACACTCTTCAAAGTATTAAAAGGCAGTGTTAATAATACTAGGGGCAACAAAACCTATCTCTACCCAGCCTTGGAAAGTTCACGTGGTTTTTCATTCTCTTGAGGACTAACCATCTCTAGCCCCAGACAATAATCTGCAAATCCAACTCTCCTTCTAAAGTGGGCTCCTTACAATAGGTCACAAAGATAGGCATCCAAACAGGTCTTGAGTATCACCAGAGTAGGAGATACCACAACCTCTCTAGTGCTTCATCATTCTTATAATATCATACCATTATCATAATATCATTATAATCATAATATCATACCATAATATCATTATAATATCATAATATCATAATATCATATGATTATTATAATATCATAATACTCATAATGCTTCATCATTCTTACCATAAAGAAGTTCTTCCACATGTTTGTATGGGACTTCCTATGCTTACTTTAGGCCATTGCTCTTTGTCCTATCATACATCACTGAGAAGAGCCTGACCTTATCCATTTGCCTCTCACTTTCCTTTATGTATTCATAAACATTAATCAGATCCCCTCCCAGTTCCCTTTTCCCCAGGTTTAGACATTTCCATGTCAAAGTCACATACAAGTGGTTACCCTCGAAAAATCGCTTTGTGACACCTTACTTAGGGAAATGGGTGAGGATTAGTGTCCGTTTCTCTTGAGGAAGCTTGTCTTTCTCTTGCCTGGCCTGCTCCAGCAGTTGCCGTCTCATTACAGTAAAAACGGAGCGAAGCAAAGTCCTGCCAAAAACCTGCGTGGTTTCATATCGAGGTAGACTGTCACAGAACTGAGGGACATTGCAGTAACAAAGCCACCTGTAAGGATGAAAAAAGTCAGATAGCTATCACCATCTAACATATAAATTAATAACTGAAAGCATTCAAAGCACTATCTACATCATTTATAGTACAACTGAGAGCTATATGATTGTATAAATCAGTTCCGCATTAAGTCTGGACAAAGTTAAATAGCATTTATATTGTCTGGCTGGCTCTTTTTTTAGAGAACTATCAGCCAAGCCCTCTTAAGTCTCCATATATTCTTTTATTCCATGCTACAGTTTCCACAAGGTGCTCTTGTGATAGACAATACTCACATACCACTAAAATTCATGTTGACATCAAGGATTATCTCAAGTCATTCATGAAGTCACTTGCACCTTCTGCCTGTGACTCCAAAGACTTTATCCTTGGCTTGGTCTATCTTCTCCTCTTTAAACTTCTGCATTTCCCCACACATACACAAAAGAGGTGACACTTCTAACTAGTTCTACTGGAACACAACTAGATTCCAATCCTGGTATCCCATCAGCTAGCTTATTTGCATTAGCCATGATTCAATGCTCTCCTTTACAGTAATTTGCTACACAACGAGTCTTGCATGAAGAAGCAAATATTAAAGTGTAGCAAGTCATGTCACAGTTCTTAGAAAAGGCACAGTGTATTGAAGAGGTAAATCGAGAGAACATGGACTTTGCAGGCCAACAGGACTCCAGTGTTTCAACACTGGAGTACAGATGAACAGAGCCAATGGTTATCTATAGCTTTAACAGAATTAGATCACAACCATCACAAAAACTCTAAAATGAAAACTGCATATTTGGTTGTAAATAGGCTATTCTGGCTTCTGTACTGCTCGTCTCATTCAGATCCAAAGTACAGCCTCCCTCAAAACTCTTCTATCTTAATCAGACAGGGCAACTTTTCAAACATAAGAGTTGCAAGATTGTTGTTCGATATAGTTGTACACACACCTCTGCTTCATGTTCATGGCTGATAAAGCACTCCTCTTACAGCACAAGAACACATGTAATACTCTGATAAAGTCACACAGAAATCATTACGCTTTCAAGCAAACTCAGTGACTGTGAAAATTCACATGGTGCACCTTTGGTGCATGCACAAGTGCTCCTCAGCACCCATAGCAGTGCCTCTATTGACAGGGCAGGGCGTAATCCCAGAGGAAGAGAGAAGCTTCTACAGAGAAGCAGGAACTAGATGAAAAGAGGCCCTCATGTCTGAGGAAGCCTTAGGGACTGTGGACAGAAAGCTTTGAGAAACTGTAAGCTACAAAATGATTTACAACACAAGCCATCAATCAGATCCAGTGCTAGCTATTGATTCCTAAAAACATAGACCCCAGTTAACTCTGGCTATGACATATTTATTAAAAACAGAAATATCAAACACAATCTGAAGAGCCCCATCAGTACCTCTTCCAAGAAGGTGTTTGAGGTGACAGGTTTGTACAGGGACACATTTCCAGAGGTACAGATACGATCTGGGCCATATCTGGGCAGACTACTGACTTACTCAAACCACCCATGACACCCTTCTACAGCATAGCTGGCTACTTCATGTCGCAGTGCATGGAAAAAGCTTGATGGGATGACTCTTCATGTTCTTCATGGTAGGTCAAGGACTAACAGATTTGATATAACATCCTCTGGTAAACAATAAAAACCCCTCCAGTTTTGTGGAAGAGGTGTGACTTGGTAGAGGGACAGGGTACAGATCAGCGTCCTGCCTCTCACAGTCACAGGGCTTCTCATCTGAATGCACTATTCATAGTGCATACTTACACAGGTTTTTGCTCTTCTACTTCAAGGGAATAGGATTTTTGAGAAGAAAGGACATCCAAAAAGAGGAGAGAAGTCCATACTCATCCTCAAACAGAGAAACTGTCTTTGTCCATTCCTTGGAACAGTTGAGCTGACAGCACATTGACTGCTTACAGCACTGGTAGCTAACTGCTGCCTGCACTGACGTGAGAACTTACTGCCTTTGTCTCTGTGCTAACTGGAAAAGGTACCACACTGTTTTAATGATGAAAGTAAAACTAAAAGCAACTTGGCTTTTTACACTAGCTTTTCTTCCCCCAGTGACTAAGTCATTCTTCTGAATTCTGATGGAGTATTAAAAGGTCAGACAGGAACTGTAATTCTAAGTAACCTGATATCTCTTCACAATTTGGCAATCAAACATTCAAGAATTCTTTTTTAACTGTTCATATCTTCCATGATTTGGTTTCAAACCAGATGCTCTGCAAAGTTTAATATATATATTTAAAGTTGAGTAAGAACTTGCCCTAATTTCTAGTACATGACATAAGGACCTTAAACAGCCTCTTACAATAACTAGACTGACAACTCTGCAAACATAACAGTTGCAAAAGAGTTGTTACGTTTAGCTGTTTGCAAACATATAATCCCTTTCTTTGGCTGATAAAGCACCCCCCTCACAACACAATGATGAGTGTACAACTTTGATATGATTTCATTAAAGTCATCAGGTTTTTAATAAGCTCAGTGACAACAGGAATTCTCTCATGGCATAGCTGCGAGTACAGGTTCTCTATGTACACGTAAGCAAGATTTGTAACAAGCGAGAATGCCATTACCTGGTATAATTCACTTTATACCCTGCAATATCATCATTGGGTGATCTTAGTCTTCGTTGAGAAGGTGTCTCCAGGTGCCAGTAGTTAATGCGGTTCAGAAACATTTTAGCCAGTTCCACTATTGTCTGCCTTTCCTTTGAGGGTAAGTGGCTAAATTTGTACTGCACAAAATTATTCACACCCTTGAAAGAGAAGAAAAATGTCTAATTATTTACCCAGAATTTTTGTAGGCGCGACCTTGAACACTTATCACTTTATGTCTAGTTACCCTGGAGAAGAAAAAAGATATGGGAAAGAAAATAAGTACCAAAGACCAAGAACTCCTTTCTGAGTCACATGTCACAAGCTGACTCTTCTATTCAGAAAGTCAAGTGCATTCAAGTGTTTTTACTCTGTTCCTCTCTAGGACGTGAGTGAGTGGTAGAGAAGGAAAATTCTTTAATTTTTGCTGTTTTCCAAATTAAAAAATAATAATAATCAGGGAACAAAGAAAGATCCACAGTGCTTTCTTCTTTATGTTCATATAGATACAACTTCGATGCTAACCATGCTGCATGATTTATGCATTTTCTCTGCAAACAAAGTATGTATTCTTCATCACCTAAAATAGTACAGTTGGTGCTGTGGGCTTCTATTTAATTTTTTGTCTATTCAGTACATTATTTTTTCAAGAAGTGCCAGTGTTTCACAAGTACAACACTTCAGTGCACTTTATATGCCTGTCTACATTAAAACAAAATAAAAAAGAACCATAAAATAAAATAAAATACAATAAAATAACCAAAGAAACTGGGGGTCGGCCAATTCTTCCAGGTAACTAGCGATAGAACTAGAGGGAATGGCCTCAAGTTGTGACAGGGGAGGTTCAGGTTGGATGTTAGGATATATATATACTCCTATGAAAGAGTGGTCGGGCACTGGAATGGGCTGCCCAGGGAGGTGGGGGAGTCACCAATCCTGCAGGTGTCCAAGAAAAGGTAGATACTGTAGGACATGGTTTAGCAGGAAATATTGGTGTTAGGTGGATGGTGGGACTGGATGATCTTGGAGGTCTTTTCCAACCTTGGTGATTCTATGATTCTATAAATTATTGAGAATAGTTAAAATGCATGACTGTAATTGCCGAAATACATCTATATTGAAAATCAATTATAATTCTGCTACTGAGCTGCTGAACTGCTAAAACAAAAATGTGAAATTATTGGTCTATTTTGAGGAAAAAATATTTTAGAATAAGCTGTAAAAAAGAATTATCCTTTCATCTCTGTGCTTTACCTTCTTAAGCAGAATGAAGTGTGTGAAGGAAAAAAACCCACTATATTACACAAAAACTTTTTAGTAGCATATTTTAGGACCAGGAATGTATGGTTATTACATTCCCTTATTGCTTGTTTATACTAAAACTGAAAAAAAAACCTAAGGTAAAGTCTTTCCAAAATTCAGCAATAAAGAACTTTTATTATACTAAAGTACAAAAAGCAATAATTGTAAGGACAGACTTATTATACTAAATAGCCTTCACATTTAAAATGTCTTGTTTAACAATAGAGCAGCCATTCATCCACCAATGGGAACAAATTCAGCTCCTGACTGAGTGAGGTATGTAAGCCTCTACATAGCATCCCTGGAGTTAATGGGCCCATTTGTATGCCAAAAATCCATTCTCAGGAACTTGCTAAAGCAAAATCTGAATTTGTCATATGCTCTTTATCCATTTAGAATTATAAAAGCCTCAGCTATTCTTTGGGGCTGTTTTTTTGTTGTGTGCCCTTTGAAAGAGAAGGCTATGATCTCACTGAACTGGATTGTAACATTTACATTGACTTACTGAAGACAAAAGTCATTTTAATATTGGATTTCAAAACTTTGTCAGCACTTTTCATCACACAAGACAGAGAAAGACTAGAACTGCCACACAAAAAAGTAGTATTTTAAGTTTCATTCTCTAAATCCACAAAAAACCTGTCAGTTTCAGTAAAGCATAAGATGAATGATGAGTGAAGTGAAATAATGTGACTATCATACCAATACTAAAGTAGAAGAAGCTGCAGAAGTCTCCTACAGATTCAGTCATTGTCTTGATAAATATACAGAAACATCTGTAAACTGCCTGAAATGCCATATTTTGAAAAACAGTGGTTATGCTTAAAAAAAAAAAAAAAAAAAAGTTTTTGTTTACCTGCTCAATGCTAGGCTTCTCAAATGGGGGACTTTCCAAAGATCCTTCAATAACAGGTTTTCCCATCTGTAAAATGCACTTCCTCAAAAGCTGTTAAAATATATAAATTTAAGAAAACAAATGTACACAGGATCACTGAAAGTCAACAGAATACAAAACACATTGCAAGCAGTGCTGAAAATCTCCTAGCTATGTATCTATTTTCTTGGTCACATAAATTTATAGCTCCTTAACTTCACAATGAATTGCTTCATATCTTCTCTGAAACTCATACAAAACGTTTCTAAGTATGCGTAGGCAGCTTAGTTAGCATTTATGTCAAGTGACTTTTCCTAGTTTGTGAGTGAAGACAAAAAGAACTGTGGGTGGAAGCAGTTTATAGATGGGAGTCGGGGTTAGTTCCTGAATCATCTAGCTGACTTTTGGAATAAGATATGATACATTGCAAGCACTACAGATTTCTAGACCAGGGTTAGCTGCTAAGGTATCATGCTGAAGAAAAGAAAATCTCTCACTGGATAAAGTCAATACATGCATGAGGGGCATTCTGAGCAGTGAAACTGGCTTATGTGTGAGGGGAAAAACTGAAAAGATCCTGCACAAGTTCAGCTTACTTTGAATAGGTAGAAATAAACTTGCTTGGTGTCTGCATCTTCTTCTTTATGGACACAGGTGAACAGGTACTCCACATCCAGTACAATCCCCAGCAGCCTATTCATTTCTTCTTCAGACACATTCTCCAGGTGGGAAACATGAGCAGCTAAATAAAATAAAAATCCAAATATGTGAAAAGCCTATTGAGAGAATCTATACCAAAAAAATTTCCCAAGATATCTCAAACTAAGCCAACAAAGGCATACTTGCAGAGGTAAAGATCCTGCAATAACTCTATTTGAAAAGAGCCTCTTATCAGAGCCTACTGAAATGTAAGTCACACCAGAGCCCCGAGGAGGTAATTCCCACAGCACAAGGAATATGGCTGACTGGAATCACAGACAAGTGATCACAGACAAGTAAGTCCTGTCTGCCTGTATTAATATGCTGTAATACATAAATAATTACATTCCTTTTTTTTCTGAGAAGAGCTATGCTTTTTGAGACAAAGTTCCTTGATTAAATTCACTTAAATTAGGTAAATCAGGTGTTGACTGACACAGACAGCACTCAATTTTGTCAATATTAAAAAACTCGGCCCCATAAATAGGCTTTTTATTTTAAGCTGGACATTACCAGCTAAATTTCTTACCTTTCTATCATGTAAATTTAGATACTGTTTTGTGCACACTATACTAACACAGCTTCTGCAGACAGTACACACTCATTTGTTCTGAAGCTTACCAAAAAAAAAAAAAAAAAAAGCAAACTAAAAAAACTAACCATCTTTTAACATGTCATAATTTCTAAGTAACAAGTTCCACATTTGTGATTTTCAAAAAGCTTGTGGGATATTCATGAAAACTGGTTTAAGCAACTGGCCTCAGGAAGTGAGAAAGCAATATGAAACAAAAAGTCAATTCCCAAAAAGAAGACATTTGCATTACAAACAGCAACAATCTTAGCTGACCCCAGGCCAGTGCACATGCTATGCATATCCTTTTCTCCAGAAGGACTAGGAAATATCTTTTAAAAGCAAAGTAAAACCATTTAAAAGTTGAGTACTTTAATTTTTATGTTTTTTGATAACTTTTATCAATACATCTCTTACTGGACAATTATTGTATTATCATCATATGTCAGTGTGATTAGTACTGGTAAAAAACTTCAGTGTAACTTGAAAATGATGATATTTATTGGCCACCAAGGAAATATCAAGGAAAGGTGTAGTTCAGTATGACAGCTACCAAAACATTTAAATTCAACAAATTCATGCAGTTTCAAGTAAAAAGGACACCTTGGTTCAAAACATCAGAAAGATGCCAGCATTCATTTCCACTTAAATGAAAAGTTATAACAGGGTATTTTATTCTGAGCAAATAAGTGAGGTGGCCCTCACAGGTTTTCTTTAAGGAAAAATATTCAGCAATCTAGGCAGAATAAAACTATTTCTTTTCTGTCTTTGAGCCAGATACAACAGTTTAATATTCCCAGCTGTCTATTCTCATCCTGTAAAAGTAATAAGTTCCATCCTAGACAAGCACTGCATGAGAAATTGACAACATAATGAAGAAACCTTTCTTTGGATGTTCAATAGCCTCCTCCCTAATATCTGCAGCCAATAATAAACCCTTACTTAAACAAAAGCTTTAACATTCTGATATCAAATGTCGTGTTACTCTTAACTAGTGTTAAATAGTTCCATTTATTTACATTGCTCTACTGGTACCTCAGCTGCTGTTATATTTGCCAAAAAAAAAAAACAAAAAAGGAAAAAAGCCACCACAACTATAGGTTGCTTCTGCAGCACGCAGGAGCAGGAAGCAATCAGAAAGAAGGCCAATGCAATGATTTCAGTGATGTGAAGACCTGAAAAACACCAGGTTCGTTACATTGCTTGTGCAACTTCAGTAACAAAATACTTGATTGCATGAAATAGCAGTCAGAAAACAGGCTGAGGAGGAATGTTCCTAAAGTCTATCTCAAAATCAGTGTTTATGTAAAAACACAAGTAATATACGTATGACAAGCAAACGAAGGAATACTCAAACACATTACGTGAAGGTGCATAGCAGGAACAGTGAACAGAATGAGGAAGAGAGGAGCCTGAATGTGTACATAGTGTATACACTTACATAGTTTATACACATTACTTAACCAGTGTATTATTCTCAAGACTGATAATGTTTACCGACAGGAAAATGCACTGTTAAATGAGAGAAACCAATTAAATTTAGAAAAGTCTCTGAGTAACATAACACCTGGTCTTGAGGCTGGTGGGCAGCAAATTCTCCTGGCCCACAATTCGTTCAGCTGTTCAGTTTCATGCCAGTGACCCAGCATACTGTCCACATGAAAGAAATATTCAGTTAAAGTCCAGATGTAAGGCAAGCTGAGAGACAGAGCCAATCCCATCCCTGAAGAAAAGGAGATGAGAAGCAGAATTGTTGGTAGCATACACTGGCATACCAAATGGAGATGATGGTTGTGAGGAGAATATATCCCATATTTTTGATCAGGTATGGTTTTAACCATCAGTGGAATATATACATCTCTACTTCAACAGTACCCTGATAAAAAAAATATGCACCACAGATGATAACCTGACACCTGAACACCTTGTTCTTGTGCTCAGCCTAGTTTTAAAAGCATTCAGCAGTAACATTTAGAGGGGATAAATATGAAAATTACCTTGGAAGAGACCACTGAAAGACACATTTTGACCAGTAGTCTAAGGAAACGGATAGCAACTCATTTCAGTTATTTCAAATGAAAAAATCATTCTCATTACTCACAGTTGACTCACACAAAAACAAAACTTTATCTTTTCTAAATAAAGCAAAAAAAAAAAAAAAAAGTGGTTTGTTGTTTGTTCCCTAAGGTAGCTGTCACTGGTACTGGTTTTCCCCGAATCCCTAGTTAATGAGTGAATTAAGATTTCTCACAGACCAAAACCTCCAACTTTAGAAGCAGATTTTTTTTCTGCGGGAAAAAAAAAAAAAAAAAAAAAAAAAAACATCCACAAATTCCACAATAAAAGTTGGTGACCAACAGCCACAACATCTCATAAGATTTATAAAAAATGAAAAGTCTCTTTTGTCAAAGGCCAGGAATGAAAGGAACAGGTAACACAAGCTACCCTGGCTGCACAGCCAGAGGCAGCACAGAGAAGCAGTATGATGAAAGGCTGAAACTGACACGTGCGAAGATACCGAACATTCTGCAGTACCACATATTTATTAATCTTCTAGGCAAGAGAAAAACAGGGATTTAGGAGACTCAGAAAGGAAACATAAAAAAACAGAAATATGTCAAATGTAATGATGGCATGAAAAGGGAACAGGAAAGAAATAAGTCGTACCCTCCCTGTCCTTCACCCTCCTCATTAAATAAAAACAAGTTCCCTACAGAGTTCTATGTTATTTTAAAAAATAAGTGAATAAATGATCCATTGTGAAGGCTTTAGATTTCCTTCTCCTTATTACACTGTGCTAAGTTATGGTCACGCCAAAAACATTTAAAAGCATCTGCTTCTGTTCAATTACTTCTGAATTTTGTGACAGCTCAATTTTTATTAAATATTTGCCAATATCTACTGAAAAAAAAAAGTAATCAGCTTTTAGTTTGGATAAGCACAATTTTTAAATAAAAAAATTACAGTGATAGACTCCTCTTTTTCTGGGTGTTGGCACAATAAATAAATATTTTCATTTGCAGAAATAAAATATGTAGCAGGATTTTGTGCAGGTACTTCCAAAATACATACAAATAAATTCCCAACAACATGAGGTTAATGCATAGGTCACATGAAATACTGAAATTTCTATGGGTATCTTAATGATGCTTTTGCATTTTAACAGCTTCAAATGTCTGTGGTGTTAGAACTTGTACTTTAGCTCTATTTCTCCAAAATTCATTTGGGATAATTCTGACATATTTTAATCTAAGTGAACAGACATTTACATCCAACAGTTTCCAAATCTCGGCACAGCATCTTAAATTTCATCTTGCAAAAGTGCAGGCTTGTGGGTATACACAAGTGGATTCCAGAAGAAAGACAAAATCCTACCTAGTGTGTGACTGCAGCTGCGGCACGGCTCAGTAAGGCTCACAACTGCCTGCTGCAGGTCTGCCCGAGGAGGTGTGGGAGGTGGGTTGGGGTTCTTCCAGCCGTTGCATTTACATGATTCCTCAGCCTGAAACCAAAGTAAAGGAGTATCAACCAACAGAGTTTAAAAAACACAACAACAAATCAGTGAGAACAACAGCAACAAAAAAAGAACCTGGTGAAACTGTCCTATTTTAGAAGCAATATGAAAAAATATTATTATTTATGAGTTTTTTTGCTTTTAATAAAACACAGTGCTAGGTTTTATATTCTAGATAAAATCAGAAGTGGAATAGTGCTCCAAATACAGAGATTATCATGGTATATCATGGTATGCAAGCTGTACAAATACGCAAACTCTGGCCAATTCCTTTACAGAAAGCCCTCATTCTAGGCTCTGTATAAAAGAAGCATTCAAACATTTACCAGTATGTCAGCACAAACAGATCATATCAGCACATACAGATCCACCATGACAGTTTAATGATTTAGATACAACCAGGCTGTCCAGCAGGCAATGTGCTTATCGCTACCTCATCAGCTGCCCTGGCGGCAAGAAATCATGCAACTAAAAATAAGCACATAACAAGCCAAGCAGGGTTAACTAAACATTGAAATAAGCAAACAGTAACTGTGCTAGTAAAAAAAGCTGTCCAGGACGAGGTTTGGCCGCATCATCAACACAGAGAATGCCAAAGACTTTGAACCTGAAACCAGGAATATCTTTGAGGGCTGCTCTAAAAGTAATCTCTCCTATTTTATTATGTTGGTGCGTGTCAGAGGCAAATGGTGGCGGTACAGCAGTAGAGGTTGGACCTTCCTCCCAGTATTCCATTATATTTTGTTGCCAATGTGACAGACAACAGCAGAGGGGCAGTCTGACGAAATGGTGTCTGATATGGAATTGCAAAGGTGTGGAATTGAATTCTTCCATGCAGAGAAAACAGTACCCATTGACCTTCATTGATGCTTGCTGAACATTTGTGGAGATCAAAGAGCACATGTGAGCACAGTGAGGCATTTCAGCAGTTTCATCAACACGAAAGGCAAGCCAAGTTCTGAATGGCCACACAGATATTTTACGAGTGTGGCATTCAGGCTCTTGTTCATCACTGCCAAAAACACACAGCTAATGGTGGTGACTATGTTGAAAAAGTGCTTTGTAGACAAGAACTTCTTTTATTGAACAGTGCTATTGTGGGCTTTGTTATCTGCTGTAATTTCTATAAAAATAAATAGGAGGCATTAATTTCAGAGCAACCTAGGTAGTTATGGTCACTGACCGAAACAACATTGAGGGCTTGCAGCTAACAGGGATGGACATGAAAAAGGAATGTGAAGACTTGGGTAACCACATTTCAAATCAGTCAGCTAAGATCTGAAGAGCGGCTTTACAGGAGGGGATTTTTTTCTGTACATCCAGAAGTTCTTAGTTATTTTCATGGTAAGGTTCTCCTAACAGCATTCACATTCCCATTTGAAGATCTAATCAGAAGAAAAGAATGTTTTTCTACTGTTCAGAGATATCTGTGCGCTGCGCTGTAATGAGATCCTCACAAATTTGCAATGCCAAGAGCTCCGTGAGAAAAGTGCCAATGGCTGCGTGATATTTATGGCTGAATCAACCTCAGTAGGAAAAATGGTGGAGTTAATACATTCAGCACTAACATGACATTTATTCAAAATGATTTTGAATACATTTAATAGAATCTATCTTAGAAACCTATTTCATTTTCCTATTAGGTTTCCAAATCTCATCTCACCTAAGGAAGGAGTACCCAAAAAAAGCAGAAAAGATCGTGGTTTGACAGCACCTAAAACTGACAGCTTTGTAGACTGGTGGTAAAATGTTCCTCCACTCCAATTTCAATATTCAGCAACCTGAGCAGTAGCACAACTGCTGCCTGTGTTCTGCTGAGCACCACACGATATTTTTACCATTCCTACTGCAGAAGTGTTTATCCAACTGGACTCCTGGCCACAGGCTCTGATGGCATTCAGGCATGGTAGAAGGGAAGAGTGGTGCTTTCAGCTCCAGGATACTCAGAAACACACCTGCAAGTGCCCAGCAAAGCCACTTCCACATACTCCCCTTGGAAGAGGGACCTGCTGCATTGTCTGGATCCAGCAGCTCTTCCAGTGCACTGAGTGTATGATGCATTTAAAATACTGCATCAGGGGGATTTCAGCATGAAACGTGGAGAAATCTGGGCAAAATTAAAATTACTTTTTTTTTTTTTTTTTTTTAAGCCTCAGCAAATGCAACCTGGAATGATTTACAGTGAATTTCACATTATTTTTCTATGAGTAATAGAATTGGCAAGGAAGTGAAGAAGGGCTGATGTTATTTTGTAGTGGAAGCCGTCTCTTGCAGTTTCTCAGGCATTGAATGAGTTTTATTTTTGTTTGTTATCCAAACCCACAGGACCTATTAATGTTTGATGACTAGAAAGAGAGGTCAGTGATTGAGTGGCACCTGAGAACCAAGGATTGCCCTGGTGTGAGGACTGGGAAAGCAAGTAAAATGATTTGAAGCCATATTTTCATTTAGCACTTCAAGTTAGACAAAACTAAAGCCAAACAATCTATCCACATTTGCTTTGTGAAGAGATAATGTTGCCATGAGAATTAAAAAATAGAGAGAAACTGAGAAGACCGTCAGAAAATGAGAATATTGCCAAAGAGAATTCAAGAGAGAGTTGTAAGTTCTCAAGCAGACCAACAAACAAACAAACAAAGACTGAATATTAGTTGAGGGAAGCAAGATTTGATCCTTTCCATACAGCTGTCTGGACAAACACTGAACTCTAAATTACTGACATAACACAATGCTCATTATTAATTGCCTTAAATCATACCACAGTGAAAAATGATACATACCAAAAACCCCACAACCTAGGCACAGGCATTTTGAGAAATTCTTTTCCAAGTGGAAGCAGCATTTTGCAGAAGCTCACCACACAGTGTTTATGATAAAGCCTAAAAATCTATAAACAGTGAGTAACTACAGAAACTTTAGTGTTACACAATAATTAACAGCAAAGATGCAAACAAACAGATGTATGAATTGCAATAACAGCTCAGTTAAGCTGCCAAAAATAAATATCAACCCACGCACAGCAGAATAAAAACAGTGTGTTCAGTGGCAGATCTTTTTCAGCCCTTGGTAGCATTTCCTTGCCAGATATTTTGAAGCAGATGTTAATTTGTATTGTTTGAATTATTCCAGAGATCTTTCTCTAACAACTCTTAGGGTACTTTTTTTCTTTATTCTCTCTGTAAAACACCAGAATCAGCATAAAAGTTCTGTTAACTAAGGGAGAAAGCAGCCCAGAAGGGTCCTCTTTAAAACTAAGCTTCCATTGTAGATGTTGACAGTGCAAGTATTTTGCACTGAATACCCAATGTGCATTCCTCAGTGACTTCAATTGCAGAGTTGTTTCACGCCTTCCACTGTATTTTGTTAATTCAGTCCTTTCCCTGACTATCTTAAGCTTTTTGGTTTCCTTTTTTTTTTTTATGTCACTCATCTGCTTTTCATTTGAAAATAAAGTATGACTTCACCTCCACAAAAACTTAATTTAAGATCAAAAGAGTTGGGGAGTGGGGGGGAAGCAGGGGGAGGAGGAAGGAAAAGAAGCATTTAAGCTGCACATCCAGTCCTTGGGTCTTGTTTTCGGGAACATCTGCGGAGCTGTGATAAAGGCACTGCAGAAAGATGGGCACTCCTGCTTACTGAGGCCTGCAAAGTAACCTGTGTTGTCCTGACAGGCCCAAGGATCACCACAGCATCTTAATTGGCATTTTTAAATAAAACTGAGTTCATTGTAACCGAACACAACAACCACACACTCCCCTCAAAAGCAGTGCAGAAATCACGTATATTTTGAACTGAAAAGTGTTGTATTTTCAATCATTTTTTTTATACTTTCCGTATTAGATATAATGGGGAAAATTGAATGGTGCAACAGCTCAAGGCCATGAAAACAGCAGCTCTGGACAAATTAAAGTTACTCTTTTCTTTAGAATACCCAATATATCCATGCCTGGTCAAAAACGGATCTTGAAAGACATGTTAGCATTATTACTTGAAAGAAGTGCCTTTGGAAGCTACAGTGTTGCACTCCCCAGGCCCTGTCAGGAAGCTGTTATTATATAATTATACTGGCTAAATGAGCACTGTTACAATATCTTACTGCCTAAAAAATTCCTCCCCTTTTGGAGCGGTGAAAAGGGCACAGGAAGGCAAGCTTCAAGCTAACTTAACTACAAAGTGAAAGACTTCAGCAGCCTTAAAACTGAGTTTCACAGCAGCTTTTGCTCTGGGCTCTCTTCTGCTCCAAACCACGCAAGCTGCCCTGCCCAGTAACAAAAAGCTAAGCTCACTCAGCACATTGCAGATACACAGCACCATGGCTCTTGTTTCCAGCGTGTACAAGAAAAACAGCGTGCTCCAGAAAAACTACTTTTCCTCCCAGCACAAAAAGTGAGCAGAATAACCTATTGTAACATGCTGCCTCCTACAACAGTAATCTCAAATTATTGCTGTAACAAAGAACACCACACAAACCACAACAAAAACCTGGATGAAATTTAAATGCTTATTTTTCCTACTCCAATGTATAGCACCCAGCAACCAGGCAGTCAGACGCTGCTCACAGATCTATCTACTCCTATGCATCAGGAAGGCAGCCAACCCATTTGCCTTTAACAACACAAAGTAACCAGTTCTGATCAGCTCTAAGCACATTCTTCCTCTGTAGATCAATCCAGGTATTTTATGTCACATTTTGTTCTGGTTTCTCTCACCTACAGGATAGATGTAGGCCACCATATAAATGTTTTTTTATTAAAAACGGGGATCCATTTCCCACCTGGTGATGTTAATGTTTGATTTAAATGAAGATGCTTTAATTCAGACTGCAATAGTCACAAAACATATTCATCTTACTACATAAACAATCGCAAGGAAGATTTACATTTTCTGTTCATCCTCCTTAATTTCTCCAGAAAACGACTTCCAAACATTTTCACTGGAGCTTCAAGGAGCTGTATTCTCACAGTGCAGAGCTGAGTGAAGTCAAACAACGCAGTTCAGCCTGCCTCATCTTGATCAGTCTTACTGAAGTCAGGAAAAATTATACAACGTTATGGAAACCACGGCCCTACAAATTATTTTTAATGTGTGGGGGCAAGAAAACACCACAGACATCCGTGCATGATCAGAAGTGGGGAAAAGTGGCCATATCAAGGGTCAGCAGCTGCTCTGCAGCAAGGAAACCCAGATCACACTTCAAGATCTGCCACTCATAGGGCCTTGGCCTAATCTCCTCATAGCTGTGCTTGTGATGTTTCGGTTATTTAAAGCACATGGTCTTTATGGAGGTGTTATTTCCCGCTGCTTGTGCAAATGCCTTAAGTGATAGGGCTCAATTACATTATCAAGCATCTAGGTATTACTGTGAGAAATAACCAACTGTACAGAAAATCTAGATTACTAAAAAAGTACCTATTTCAACATATTTTTAAGAAAAATTCCCAATGGGACTAAAAAAGAAAGTTGTGTTTTCACAAACCAATAGTGTGGAAAAAAAAAAGGACTTCCTCCTCCATCTTCATTAAACATATTTATGTGTGTAAGCAACACAGTGCTGCTTTTATGAGAAAAGCTGCAAACTCATGTGTCCAATGCTGAATTTCACACTGGGCAAAACCAAAACGATGTATGCAGTCATTCATATGTACGCAGTTATAGTGACTGCCAAATGCAAAATGTTGCACAAATACAGCTCCACTGTGCACTTCTAAAAGTCATGAAAACTGCCAACTCCTTACATATCTCTTATTGTTCAGAATGGACATTATCCCCACACAAACTCGGGTGTTTAAAGGGCTGTTAAACACAGAAGAGACTGTTCTTGCTCTTCTACCCCTGAGCTTTTTATTTCACAGGAGAAAAGTCAAGTAGTGCAGCTCCATGGTGACCACTCTCCTGCCTCAATTCCTTAGCAGGAAAACAAAAACAAACCACTCAATAAAAACAAGCAAACATGTATCTCCAGTCTCAGGACAGGGCAGCAGCTCCCTAGTCTCAGTTCTCACTCAGTTCAGCAGTACCTCCAACTCCTTTCTGCCTGCAACCTCCTCTCCAGCATGGCACCTTTCCTCCCTCACCCCAGGCATTCTCCCAGCCACTGACATCTCTCCATCTTGTCATGCTGCTGCTCAGCCCCAGTGAACCCACGGCCTCTACCATTCCCTGCATCTCTGGAATGAAGTTTCTAATATGTTTTGTGTGCTGAAGTAGCAGTAATGTGGGGTGAATTTTACATAGGAAAAGGATGTCAAAACTAAGATAAATTGTCACACATTTTCTTCCCTCCAACTTACACAGTTCTATATAGATCTGCAGATCAACATGGCTGCTTACCACAGAAATTTCATTCAGAGATAGACTGTTTGAGCTTTCATACACACAGAACAAGTGGAACAGGAGTTGGAACCCAGAGTAAGAAAAAGCTCAATGTTCCCTTCCGTACTGCTACAGCCTCTTGCAGGACCGAGCAGTTTGGAGCCAGGTGTTCAGGAAGAAAAACAACACATCCTTCCACTCAGCTTCATCCTCTCCCTGCCCCAGAGGAGAACGCACTTGATCAGTTTACAAGGATGTCTCATTGTTGACGTTCTGAGACCTGAAGGAATGCTGTCTGCCAATACATTCCTATTTTTGAAGGAAAGTCAGGTAGCAGAGGCTAGGTTTCCATTGGAATCTGCATATGGAGTCACACTGAGTACTGCTCTGTGGCTGCTTGTTGACAGGGGTTGAGGATGAAGCCCAGGGCACCCCAGCCACACAGCTAGATCCATCAGGCAGCACCATCTGGGCCTCCCTGCAGAACCCTGGAGATGATACAGACACCTCTGCAGGACATGAGTGGGTGAGTGGTCACTGTACCACCAGCACCCTGTTGAGAGGTTTGGGAGGGCTGGCAGCAGGCTCTGTCCTTCCAGTAGCACCCTCTTCTCTGCCAGTGCACAGAAGCTGCTAAGGCACTGAGGAAGCAGAGCGCAGAGACATTTCTTCATTGCAACAGGAAAGCTTAAAACCACCTTCTCCCACCTTCCATGAAGGCTACAGGTTTCCAAGCCTGGATGGTTTCAACTGACTGACATGGTATAACCTCACAGCACGCCATGGACTCAACGAGGCCGAAGCAAAGATGCTTACACATTTGTGAACTGCAGAGACATTGATGCATGTGGCTTCCTGAGCTTGCCCTCAAATGACAGTACTGCGACATGGCTCCAGCAGACAGCAAGCTCTTCACATCACCAAGCAGGGCAGCGGACCTGCACAGGGATGCTCCCTCACATCAGTGGGCAATTAGTTGGGGCACTCACTTCACACTTGCCTTCTTGGAGGTCCCAAAGTAAGGGAACAACAAAGAAACAACAACACAGAAACACACTTTTTCCACCAAACAGCTCAATTATTTTCAGCACCGAGAGCATTACTGGAGTGTTTCGCATCAGTGCTGCCAACCCGAGCGTGTCAGCTCACTGTGCATCCAGGAATTGCCCTGACAGCCCCAGCGCGGCCTGCAGGAGCCCTGCGCGGAGCTCTGCACCGCAAACACAGAGACACCTCCACCGCTGTTACAGAGCCCCGTGGCAGCACAACACTGACCGCGCTCCGCACCCGCAGCAAGCGGACGGGTCGCGGCCCCCCCGCGCCCAGAAGCGGGCTGCAGGTGTAGGGACGGGCGTGGTGCGCAGGGCAACGCGGGGCGGCAGCGACCGACGCCGGGCGGTGCGGGAGGCCGGGGCAGGGCGCGGCGGAGGGCAGGGGCCCGGCCGGGCGCTACGTGACGACGGGGCCGCAACTTTCCCGAGGGCGGAGGCTGCACGCCGACTCTCCCGAGGCGCGGCAGCCGGTGCCGGCCGGGAGGCTCCGAGGGCGGCGGGACCCACGGAGACGCCGGACCCGCAGCTTCCGCGGGGAGCGCCGGGCTACAGCCGCGCCACCTCCCGTCCTGCCCGGCCCGGCGCTGCCTTCCCCTCCTCCCCTCCCTCCGTCAATCCCCACCCTCCGTGGGCGGGTGGGCGCTCGCGGCCGGGTACCTTGCAAGCGGAGTAGACGCCCAGCTTCTCCAGCTTCTTGGCCCGCGGAGCCGCGCGCAGCTGCGCCTTCTTCCCGGCCGTGCGCGCAGAGCCGGGCCCCCCGGGGCTCTCGGCGGC